GGGGGGGGGGGGGCTTTTAGGGTCCACTGAGCCAAAAATGATTTAAAGCTCTCGGTACAAAGAGAAAGTTTAAAAACCGGAAGACATCAAGTTTAGATATCTTTGTTATCAAAAATAAGATAGGAAAAGATACATATATTAGAATAATATAGATATATTAGTAAAATTCCCACGAAATAAATCTATTTGACTTAAATATTCAAATTTTTCAACCTTTTCAAGCTCTGTTTGACCAGTATTATTATTATGCAGAAATATTTTTATGTGCTTGGGGAGGGGGGGGGTCAGTCCATTCATGTCAGTTTATATTATTTTCTTTTCAAACATTTAAATATAAATGTACGTTGATACAGTTGATACAGTTGATACAGTTGATACAGTTGATACAGTTGATACAGTTGACTTTTCTGTACCGGTCACTCACTTAACATTTACACTTTCAGTTTAAATATTTTGATTTTTGATTCTTAATAAATTTTATTTGTTTTCAGCTGTTCGACATGACAGAATGCGAGGAGGACGTAACAAGTTCGGACCAATGTATAAACGGGATAGAGCTAGGAAACTACAGGTGCAATTCATCCTTTTTAGGGGGTTTTAGGGGGTGCAATTTATCATTTTTCAGGGGTGTTATGGGTGCAATTCATCATTTTTAGGGGTTTTTAGGATGTATTCATCATTTTTAGGGGTTTAAGTGCAATTTATCATTTTAAAAGGATTTTATTTAGGGTGCAAATCATCATTTTCAGGGGTTTTTAGGTGTGCAATCTTCATTTTCAGGGTGTTTCAGATTTGTAAGCTATTTTCCAGAACTTATTTGTTATTTTTGAGGAATTAAAGATCTTTGATGGGGCAATTTTTTGAAAAATTGTTTTTTATTTATTGGAGTTTTATCGGTTGTACAACTCCATATATTTGTAGTACTCAGCCCCCTTCACTCAACCACATCTCCAGGTGATACGTCAACGCCAGATGTCCCACCCTATGCTCTCCAGCCCGACCTCCGGCCTCTACCCTATCACCTCGACCTCTGGCTGCTGGCCTTCCACCACACCGATCATCAAGCAGGAGATTCAGATCAGGGAGGTCAGCTCCCTCACCTCCAGCCCTGACTCCTCCCCCTCCCCCGGGCACATGCAGCTCATGGGTCAGCAGCAGCAACAGCAGCAGCATATGCAGCAACAGAAGCAGCTTAGTGGAAGCAGCTGGAATATTAATCAGCATGAGTTCCCCATGTCTCCTCCTATTATGAACAAGGTAAATAATATTCATTCAATCATTCATTTATTCATTAATGCTTTATTCATTCATTCATTAATTCATCCTTTTCTTAAATCATTCATTCATTCATTCATTTATCCTTCAATTTTCTTATTCATTCTTTTATCTCTGAAAAAAACTTTCCTGCATTTAGGGCAATTATCAATAAATGCATGATTTAGTGACCTTCCTTACATTCACTTTCATTCATGCATTCATTTAATTGTCCTTTTATTTCAATACTTTATTTGCATTCATTTATTGCTTAAAAGAAACTGAAAAGGAGTGGTTTAGAATAAGAGTAATAATATATAAAGGATGTAAATGGAGCGGGGTGTAGGGTAGGGGTATAGGAAGTGAAAAGAGGGTGGTATAGGAAGTGAATACATGGGGGTAGAGAAAGTGGAAAAAGGGTGGTATAGGAAATGTATACATGGGGGTTTAGAAAGTGGAAAGAGGGTGGTATAGGAAGTGTATACATGGGGGTATAGAAAGTGGAAAGAGGGCGGTTTAGGAAGTGAATACATGGAGGTGTAGAAAGTGGAAAGAGGGTGGTATAGGAAGTGGATACATGGGGGTATAGAAAGTGGAAAGAGGGTGGAATAGGAAGTGTATACATGGGGGTATAGGAAGTGGAAAGAGGGGGATATAGGAAGTGTATAGATGGGGTTGTAGGGTGAGGGGAATAGGAAGTGAAAACAGGGGTTATATATAGGAAGTGCATACAGATAAAATCTCTCTTTGAAGATGGTTTATTATGAAGTGGAAGGAATGTGTGTTGGGTGGCTTAGAACGGCTAGTTACAGTCATAAATATAAACTTATATGAAGTCAAGTGATGCTTCATAAACTTGTAAAGGGAAGGGTAGGAGGGGGTGCAGGGGGGTTCATCAGGTGTTCTAACATTCATTCATCTTTAACTATATATCTATTCATACATTCATCCATTTATGCATCTATTTATCTATTCATCTTTTCATCCATTTATCTGCAGGGTTGGCATAAAATAAACCAGCCCAAAGAAACCCACCCAATAAAACCCACTTCAAAAAAAAACATCTGTAAGTGGGCTTTTTTGGGGTTTTATTGTTTTATTTTTAGAATTCTTCTAAAAATTGCCTTTTCTTCACTCTTGTAATGATTAACTCTTCCAGAAATTTTGATTTTTAGGGAGTCTGTAGCACTAAAACAGACACATTTATTCATTACCTAAGACTTAAACCAATGATCTTAACAAAATAAATATTGTTCCAATATTTAGTTACTTCAAAAAAGTAATTAATTAAAAAGTAGCCAACCTTGTCACTCGTGACTTTACACCAGATAAATCCAATTGTAGAAAACTAAATCCATCTTATATCTATATATCCATCTCTATTTATATTATCCATCTCTATTTATATCTATCTATCTATCTTTCTATACATCTCTACATCTTGCTAACTAACAAACTATCTATCTATCTAGGAGTTCTATTCAATGTCCTCTGGTATGTCTGGTGGTCTACTAACTACAGCTAGCTCTAGTACCCCGACCTCTAACCAGGGTAAGGTTCCTGCCCAGATACGGGAGTTCCTCAAATCTCTGGATGATCAGGAGTGGCAGAGTTCACTCTTCTCACTACTACAGAGTCAGACATTTAATCAGGTAATCACTTCGTTGATTGATTGATTGATTGATTGATTGATTACATTTCATTGATTCATTGGTAGGTTGGTTGATTCATTCATAGATTCATTGATTCATTGATTAATTGATTCATTGATTCATTGATTTATTGATTCATTGATTCATTGATTCATTGATTTATTGATTCATTGATTCATTGATTCATTGATTTATTGTTTCATTGATTCATTGATTCATTGATTTATTGTTTTATTGATTCATTGATTCATTGATTCATTGATTCATTGATTTATTGTTTTTTTAATTCATAGATTCATTGATTTATTGATTCATTGATTCATTGATTCATTGTACGTTACATTGATTGATTGATTGATTGCGTTTATTGATTCTATTGAAAAGATTGGATAGAGCTCAATCTATGAGAGGTTTGGTGATTTTGGGCGATTATTCCCAGTTAGTTTTATTAAATATTAAATGATTTGTTGTTGATTTTCTGATCGAATAATCGACTGATTGATTGATTGATTGATTGATTGATTGATTGCTATAGGTTGAGGTAGACCTGTTTGAGCTGCTGTGCAAGGTGTTGGATCAGAACCTGTTCGCCCAGGTGGACTGGGCCAGAAATAGTGTATTCTTCAAGGAATTAAAGGTTAGAAATCATAACATTTTCTTCAAAATATCGAACTTCTCGAAAACTGTTTGAAATACTGAACATTATGATCGAAATTACAAATATAATGTTAGGGATATTAAAAATTAAGTTTGTGAGATATATCTAACATTCTGTTAAAAAATTTTGAACAAAGTTTTCACAAATTCGAAATTCTTCGTTTTTACAGAATTATTGTTCATGAATTGAAAATAGTTTTAAAATTTGATGAAAATTGATAAAATTTATGAAAATATTGATGAACGGGGAATTTAATTGAATAAAATTGAATAAAAAGTTGATTAAGCTAAATACAGAATAACTGTTCTACAGTGCACACAGTCTAATGTATAGTTTTAACCTTGAGAAAGAAATGCATATTTACGCAACACTGTTTTTATGTCAAGGTTAGGCTCTTTTTTTGCAACTTAGGGGATATTCGCAACTCGGGATAATGGCAAAATAGGATATGAGCCAAATTGGATATTCGCAAAACGGGATATCGGAAAAAAAGAAATAAAAAGAAGGAGCGGGGATCCTCTTCCTTTAATCAAAATATTGTTTTGTTTTCCGCTATATAAACACGTTGCGTAATCAAGGCGCGTAATTCGATGATAGGAAGATAAGGTGCGCGCGGTTGGGAAACTTTGGAGCAAGTTGGAAACGCGCAAGCGCATTACCTAACTGTGTCAGGGTCACAGCAAATACCAAGCGCGTAGGGGGGTTGGATAAGGGTTGAGTAAATGAGGGGGAGGGTTGGGACATTAGAAAGTCCTTAATTACTCAATTAAACTCATCATCATATAGATAATATATATATTTAGATATATACATTTCCCACAGATAGGTTGAGAAATAGACAGATATATTATAGTCATTTAAACATCTAGATAGCTAAATTGACAGCGATAGACGTATAGATGTATGCATAGATAAATAGACAGCTATAGACCGATAGAAATATAGACAACTAGACATTATAGACATATAGACATAATAGATAGTTAGACAGACAGATTACTATGTAATAGATAGATGAAGACGGATAAATAAATAGACAGATAGATAGATAATAGATTAATAGATAGATAGATAGATAGATAGTCCCCCTTCACTTTTACTTCTTTACTGCGCTTTAAGTCAAGAAAGTAAAAGCATGGATAGATAGATAGATAAATAGCAGATTGAAGTAGATGGATAGATAGTGGAGTATTAAGGGATAGATAGATAGCGGAGGACAGGTGAAAGGGAAATGACCGAAAATGAGGTCGGTCTGGAAAACGGAGGCTGTACAGAGAGGGTTCATGATAGATAGATACTTATATCGGGATAGATAGATAGAAAACTGATGGTTAGAAAGATAGAAACAAAACTGACCCAAATAATATGAAAAGTCGTTCAACCCACCTCCTTTTCCTATATCCTAGACCTACATTTTCACTTTTTCTGCCCTTCACCTAAAAACTCTTTTCAATTTTAGCTTTTATACCCATATTTCAAAGTCTTATATTATTTTTTATACTTCAAGAAAATTATCCATTTTTTAAGTTAACTTTTTCTGCTTTTTGTAAAAGGAGTATCTATAAGATTGTTATTTTTAAATAAGACTCAATCTTAATTTATTTCAATTAAATCACTAATTAATTGCTTAATCGTTATAATTCATTTTAATTATCAATTTGTTTTATTTTTGATATTTTTTAGAAACATTAAAACGGGGTTTTTTGAAGATTGCAGCAGTTTTTTTTGTTGTTGTTTGGGTGTTATTTGAATAGAAATGCATTTTCTAAACATCCATTAATGTATTTTATGTAGATGCATATATTTAAATACTAAACATCCATTAATGTATTTTATATTAACTCAATAAAAAACTAACGTTAGACTAGATATCCACCAACTGACTTTTAAATTCAAACCTATATATCTCTTCTTTCATGGGCAGTGGACTTTTACTTTCAAGCAGATAGATAGATAGATAGATAGATAGATGGATAGATAGATAGATAGATAGACTCCGGCACGGTTTAAGTTCACTCACCTCCGTCCTAAATTCTCCGGAGCAGGGCTGTAAAACAAAAAATAATTTTTGCAACCATTTTTTTTTTTCAATTTGTTCATTCACGCAAAAAAAATTCAGGGGAAAATTTTTTCCCTGATTTACTCCGGAGAAAAAAAGTAAAAGTGACGATGTCAGCTTTTAGTGTGCATAGATTGGGGGTCTCAAGTTTTTGGGATGGATATTTATTTTGATGTTTCTGGGGCTTATTTCTGTTTCAGTTACCTTGTGTTGAAGTTTTTAGCGGTTTTTTTTAAAGTATTGAAGGAGTCTTTCAAAGATTTGAATCAGCTTTTACTCCCTCCCCCCACAGAAGAAGGGTGGGGGGTGAACCCCCTTCTCTTTGTAAATCAGGAACATCTAACCTTCGAAATCAAGTTTTTGTAAAAACCCTTCTTTGTTTCCAAGTTTACGGCTCCGCAAAGGCAAATGTATAAAATATAAATATTGAAAATTTCCACATTTTAAATTGAAAATGTTGAAAGTCTCATAAATCCGCGAACCCTTCCTTCAAAATCCTCGAAAACTGATTTTAAAATATATTTCCCTAGGGGTCCTTTACCCCAAGGGGGGAGGGAGGGGGGGGTCCGACTTTGTTTTCATAATAACCAACATATATGCCTTTAAATAGTTTTCTGACTTTTCAATATATTGACAGATAGACAGATATATAAATAGACAGATAGACAGATAGACAGATATATGGATAGAAAAGGAATAGATATTATAGTTCTATCTCTCTCTATATATGTATATTTTTCTATATATTTTTAGTTCTATCTATCTATCTATCTATCTATCTATCTATCTATCTATCTATCTATCTATCTATCTATCTAACTAACTATCTTGCTTTCTAGCGCACTTGTTGAAAACGAAAGTGCAGTGAACTTAAATGAGGGCAAAGGGAGGCTAGCAGATAGATAGATAGAGTCCGACATCTTTAAAGATAACATAACTATTATATAATATTTGTACTTCTTTTATTAGAAATAAAAACGTAAGAATTTAGAGGTGCCAAAGTTTAATTGCTTTTGATCAAGACTTCTTCTTATATTTTTCTTATATTTCTAAAATCTAAATGTGCAAAATTTTCCCATAGATCGCTTTATTATGAAAAACTTACCCTTTTACAGATGTTAAATGTATTTTTGAATTATAAACATTACTTTTAAACATGTTAAAACATAAACATTGCGGGTTTAAGGGTTCTTTTCCAGAAAAAAACACGTTTTATTTCAAGAAATCTTTGACTCAAAATCCACGAAAGTCCTGATGATTAAATGCGCAAGTAAATGACGTGTTCTATGGCTGCTGCTGCTGCTGCACACTTGAACTAGTAAAAGTCACATTCCCTTTTCCTTGTAAATGAAAGGAGAAGTGAATAACCGATATGTAGAGCAAGGCCTATGGACTCCTTGCGTGGGGTGTAATAAGGACATTTTCGGGATTTTAAATTTTGCCAAAAAATTATTATTTTATAAACGATGAAAATCCAATTTAAGGAGGTTTTTATACATTGAATAATTAAATTTTTTAATCTACAAAATGTGTTCACCCCACAACTTCTAGGGTTTATGAACTTTATTGAGGCCTGCGGTGAAATAAATATACAAGGAATATTATCTTTTACTTTATTCACGATCACTCTCCTTGACATGCTTGCCACCCCTCTCACTTTCATTTTCTTATTAATGTAATCAAGCCAATTGAACCAAATTATTGCGTAATTAGTTGCGTACACGGCTGTTGACCCTGACACCATGTGGTTTGCGTCAGTTGGGTAAATGCGTCAGATTACGCACTTTTATCCGAATCTGTTCCTTTCAAAATGAAAATGAAAATCTACAATTGAACGATGTAAATTGATAAAAATCAAGTTAATGATATTTGATTGAATGGTTGAAGGGATTGAATCAGTAGTTGATCGAGTGGTATAAGTGAATAATTTATAAATTGACTAATTGATTAATTGATTTCCATGTTTAGGTTGATGACCAGATGAAACTGTTGGAGGACTCCTGGAGTGAAATGCTCATCCTTGATCATCTCCATCAGAGGTCAGATATTCATTCATTCATTCATTCATTCATTCATTCAATAATATTCATTTATTTATTCATTAATGTTCATTCATTTATAGAAATTCATTCATTATTCATTTAATAATATTTATTTATTTATTCATTAATGTTCATTCATTCATAATCATTCATATTTATTCATTCATTTATAGATATTCATTCATTAATTCATAGATATTCAACCATTAATACAAGATATTCATTGATTAATATACCTTCATTCACAGATATTCAATCAGTAAAACAAGATATTCATTCATTCATTTATTAATAGATTTTGATTTAAATAATTGATATAAATGAATAGATATGCTAATAACATGCTAATAAATGAATAAATAAAATAACTGCCTGAATGCCTAGATTGCACAACAACCTGCCTGATGAAAGTGCTCTACCAAACGGGCAGAAATTTGACCTCCTGCAGCTGGCTCTTCTAGGAGTTCATAATATGACAGACAAGTTCTTAGAGGTCAGAATAATAATTCATATTTTTTTTATATAATAGAATAACCGTTTGCATGTAGAGGAGAGTAAGGATCATGTACATCAGGTTCTAGCGGAGTATGCGCAGAACTGCTACGCCAATATACCGGTCAGTTCATAGATAGATGGATAGATAGATAATTATAAATAGATAGATACATGCTGGATGTTTGGATGAAAATATGGATTCGATTTTTTACATTTTATGATTTATTAATTGATTGATTGATTGTCTGATACATAAGCTTGCTTTGTGCACCCTACATTAAAGCAACGACGAGTTTGCCTTGTTTTTGTCCTAATCAACATTTATATTTTAGGTTTACATCCACTTACACAATTCAACTTTCAACTTTTGTAAAAAAAAAAAAAAATGGAAAAATCTACTAACTAAACTGTTTTCCCAGCTAACCTAATATACTCATATACTCATATACTCTAGACCAGAATGGAGAGGTTGAAAAACAGCAACGCTGCCAAACAAAAAAATTGTTCATTTTATGCAAATAGCAAATGTAAAAAAATGCATAAAATAAACCTTTTTTTCTCCTAAGTATTTCGCATGTGTGTCTGTATATACCGTCCTGATATGTTTGCAATAGGCCAAAATTTGGAAGTCCTTTTTTAGTCCACAGAAAAAGTAAAAAAGTTGTTCTAAGACTGGATTTTTTTTTATATACAACTCAACCATCAAAATACTTTGCTGACACAAAAAGTAAAACTTAGGATTAATTATTAAAAAAATATAAATTTCAAAAACGCTTTTGTTTCGTTATAAGCTTGCGTGTTGTGGTATTTTTACTTTTTTTAAAAAAAAATTTCAATTTGTTATTTTTTGCAGGAAAAATACAATTCAATCCTTGCGGTTATACCTGAACTCAAACATATGGCCCAGGTGAGTTTAAGTACAGTACTACATAGCAGTTCAGTACAATACATCTTGTACATAGAGCAAAATTACAATAAAACCAGAAAAATACCTTTTTTTTAAACAATTAGCAACCTTTGATTTAAAATATTAAGCATACATTTTAAAACCAGTACTCAGTACAGTACAGTACAGTACAGTACAGTACAGAATAGTACAATAACTATTAAACTAACTATTTCTTTTTCAGCGTGGAGTTGAGTACTTGTATAATATGCATGTACAAGGAAAGGCCCCCCATGCTACCCTCCTTATGGAGATGTTATTGGCGAAACGGCGGCATGCGCCTAATTTGTAAGTTTTTTTTTATTTAATGAAATTTTTGCATTTCTACACTGTAAAAATTGATTTCTTCCCGTGTAGAAAGATTATAATTTTTTAGGAGAAAAATGATTTTAAAAATTTATTTAAGTCATTCCCATTATTCTATTTCTCACTTTTAACATAATTGTTTTATTTTCCAGGATGTGATTAAAGAAACCTAGAACACTAGAATCCCAAATGGAGAAACCAGTTTTTGCGGGCTTGAAAAATCCGCTAAAACTCGGCAGTGTACAGCACTGAACAGTGTACACTCTGCGCCCAACACCCTTATAAGTCGTCTTCAATCAGAATTCGGTTCATTGTCACAGAATAGAAACCTTGCAAGAGATTAGTCCCCTAATCTCCTATTTGTTGATTTTAACAAGTTTATATAATATTCACACTGCTGCTACCAGAGTATATATATAGCTATATACCCCACGAAGTGTACAGGGAAGACGACATTTATCCCAGGACTTGAATCTACACGCATAATATAGAACTCGGATTGAAATGCCCCTTCAACCCTCCTTCCAACTGTGTTAAATAAATTAGTTCAGAAGATATTTTTTTCAACTTTGTATGAATGAAAAAAGGTGTCCAGCTCTGTTTATACTAATTCGTTTGTAAATATTCCAAATATTGTATTCAACCATGAGTCCAAAGAGACTTTGAACACGCGGGATGATCATCCCCGGTGACAACAACAAATGTAAATAAAAGTTTAAGGAAAATCCGGGAAAACTAGATTCTTCGGAAAAATCCGCAATTGTTAAATCTGAAAGAAAAGTCTATGAATATCTGTGCCTACTTCAAAAACTTTTAATGTTACAACAACGATGTTCTATGTCGTCTTTCACTGTTGCCGTAACCCCAATTTTACCAGTTTTTAATTTTTACAAGCCCAGTTTAATGACCAGCACTTTTTAACCAGTTCATTTTTTGTATTTGTTTATTATGACATGAGACATAATAACAGGATTTTTCAAGTCTTATTTAATGAAAAGTCATGTCGTGTATCTACCTTTAGTTTAATTTAACATTTTCTCATATAACTCTAAGTCATATTTAATAAGTTTTGAACTTCAAAAATCTTGTTATTATGTCAACCCAGATCGGATTTCATTTTGAAGGTGTTTACTTCGCAAGAGTCTTTAGTTGATGAAATTTGGGAAAACTCCTCAAGAAGCCGAGGGTCATTTTTTCAAGACCTTTTCCGCGCATTTTGTAAATATGATACAAACAAGCGGAGTTCTTCCAAATTTCCTTTATTTTACATTCCAGGGATACCAGCAGAGATACAATTTTCATGCGCTGAAGGATAATTAAATGTGCCAACTTGTGCCGAAATATCTTTTGACGCATTAAAGTTGAACTCTGCACCCGATATACGGGATACGTGGGCATTAGTTTAAATGCCGCGGTACTTTTTCAAATTTGGCGCCAAAGTTTTTGCGCCATTTTGACCTGGAAATGCCGATTATGAATGCTGACGGATGAATGGGTGATGGACGATTTTTTTGCACAATTTCCTTAGGTTCCACGCAGATTGAACTAAATTCCTCCGGATTTAGTAAAATCTTTAGTTTAGAAGAAGTAAAAACTTTAAAATGAAATCCTCTGTTTTATTATTCTGACTGAATGTATAAGCATGATATTGTTGTCGCGAATGGCTGTCGTTTATTTATTTTTAATGTAAAAGTACAGGTATAAAAAAACATCTTTGAAATTGGTAATTTTTGTGATTTTTTTTATTTCGAAAAAAATTTGCAATTTTTGTCCAAGAGGAAAAGAAAAATGAGAGACTCTAGTCGGACTTTTTCACTTTATAAGCCGGGGTAGTACACTGTACATTATAACCCGCAACATTTTTTTTCACTTCGCAAAACTTTAAATGCAAAACACCAGGCTAGACGTTCTAGTTATACTTCCTCACTCATTTATTCACTTTACAGCCTTCTTATATTATTGTTTCCCCCATACCAAATTGCGCTACGAAAAACTGCCCGTTTTAAATGCCGAACGCTTAGGCCTCAAAGTCAACTGGACTTTTAGGACCTTGGATCAGCATTTTAAAATTACCAATATGAAAACAAATTGACGATTCTTTCTTTTTGTTTTTCATCCTTATTTAGTATTTTTTTTCATGGCTTTTATGATTTCTTAAATGTAGATAACTATGATGTAGATATAAATATATATTATATATAAAAGAATCATGGATCTAAAGTTGAGAAGAGAAAACAGAGAGAGAAGTGGGTCTGTTTAAACTGCAGAATTGTAGTGCATGATGTTCATTGGACTTGTAAATTTATTCTAAAAGTCGTCTTTCTATTTCAGAGTTTTCTGGTTATCACTATCAGGCCCCTTACTAGCAGACAAGGGCAGAGAAACTACAGAAAGACTATATATATGGATTATGTAAAGACGAAAGATGTGAACTTAAAAGAATTAGATAAATTTAAGGGCCAAGGGGGGGGGGGCAATAAAGTATATTTAAAAACTCTGTATTTATCTCCTTTTTCCGAGTTGTTGCCCTCCTCTGGTTTAAATCCTGTGCATTTTTCACTTATTTGACCCGACAACTTTTTTTCCTCACAAATTATTTTGAAAAATGCAGCATGCCCCAAATATTGTAAGATTGGGGAGATAGAATCAAATTTTTCTTCATATTTTCGAGAGGTAAAAAAAGGCTTGAAGTGTATCAAAAAAGTAATCCAAGTGTTGACGGAGAAATTAGATATTTAGACAATTTAGATTTCATTTGATTTTAAATTGGAAGTGCTTCAATTTTGAAGGTACAGAAAAAACTGACCACATTTTGAAAATCCCACGACCACTTTTAGTGCAAATGAACACAAATCGAGCTTTACCTCGTTCAATTGGACTAACATTTATTTTCCCGCCAGGAATATTTAGTAAAAATGATCAATTAGTGCAATTGATCTGGAATATACTTAAAAGATTTGTTCAAACGAAATAAATTTTTTTTCTGTAATAACTATAGTGCAAATGAACATTTCCAACAAAAAATTTATTCAAACGGACTATAATGTGTTTTTTTTCTGTAAATATTAGTGCAATTGGCCATTAAAGTGCAAATGAATATTTCCAACAAAAAATCTGTTCAAACGGACTAATGTTTTTTTCATCAAATATTATAGTGCAATTAAAAATTTGAAATTAGTGCAAATGAACATTTCTTGCTAAAAATTGTGCAAACGGGCTAACGTTTATTTCTGTAAAAATTCGTGCAATTGAACATTAGTGCAAATGAATCCATTTCCAACATAAAATTTGTTCAAACGGACTAATGTTATTTTCTGTAAATGTTAGTGCAATTGAAAATTAGTGCAAATAAACATTTCCAACAAAAATTTGTTCAAACAGACTATACAGTTTTTTTTCTTAAATAATTATAATTTATGGGCAAAATGGTGAAATTTTAAATTTTAGTTTGATTGAACATTTTTTTTGTTCATTTGCACTAAAATATGTTCATTTGTACTAATTAGGGTAAATTTTCAAAATTGTGAAATTTTAGGTTTTAGTTCGATTGAACTTTTGTTTGTTCATTCGTACTAAAATATGTTCATTTGCACTAACTTCGTTTTTACCCAAACTTAAAGCTTTAGTACAGTTGAACATTTTGTATTAATTTTTTTTAATTATAAATTAAATGAGCTCCGAATCACGCTAGAATTTAAAAAGCTTTAGTTCTCCACATGCCCAAAAAAACTTCCACGCGGATTTTAGTTTGATTGAACATTAATGAACGTTAGTACAAATGTACGTTAGTCCGATCATAATCATTAGTGCAAACGATATTTTACCATCACGATTAACGCCCATTCCTCCTCCTCCCCTTCCCTCTCCTCTCCTTGCAAACATCACAATCCGTCCAGAGTCAATGTGAGTTGAATACTCACAAAATTTCCATAGCTCGATCTCAATATCCATTGAAGGCACTTTTAATTTAAGGATACAAGAGTTCCCCATGCTCAGATTAGTTTATAGACGGAAAAATGTACAGGATACACTACCCACAAAGGATGAGACTTCAGAGACGATTGTACTGAATTTACACTGTTTCCTTATATTTATAACTCCCTGCAAGTGTAAAACGGATTTGGTTTTTGCCAATTAATCATTAAATATGCCCTTTAAATACTTTATTTAAGGCAAAGATTTAATTCAACCAAGAAATATTTTGAGAGTTTCATGTCGTCTTTACAGTCTCATCCTTTGTTTGTATCCCTGTATGTTATTTAGATTTATTTAGAGAAACATAATATATTTTTTATTTGAATAAATACAATTTAAAAACACATTATAGCAACACTATAAACACTTTTTAACATGTCAGGTAAAAAATAATAAATTTGCACTTTTTCTTGTTTTTTTTTTGCGGATTTTCCCTTTCATTTTCTATGCCTTCTTCTCCTCCTCTCTGGGTCTTGTGGGCCTAGGTTTAAAACGCCTTAAAAAATTATTAGTTTTCAAAAAAAAGAAATTCCCTAGTAGCGCCGATATTTTAAAATAACAAATTTTAAAACTTTTGTATACCTCGCCTTTTCTTTGGCAGCCTTACTCTTCCGCCATTGGGTCCAACCTTCCTCCTTCTTCCCTGTCCTTTCTAAAAGTATTTGTTAAATTCAAATTTTTTCAGGGTTGAGACAGTCCAAGAATCGATATTGAGGCAAAAATAGTAAAAAAGAATTTTCGGAAACGAATGAAAGGGGTCAATATAGTTGGCAAGACTAGCTGGTGTCCCACGAATAGTTTTAAATGTCTTCTTCCATAATATATCAAGTTGTTTGTTGCCAAAGAGAATAATAGTAAATATCTTATGGCATCCATATTATAGTAAAATTGATTTCTAAGTATAATATATTTGAGTAAAGTTTTTTAAAGTAAATAATCTGCAAAAAGCTTCTTTGATATCTAATACAGCATATGGAAGACATTCAAAACTATTCGCCAACTGTCATGTTTCGTGGGACACCCTGTAGGTTGACCCAGTCTGAAGTTAAATTTGCAATCACTTTCGCCGCAATTTTGCTTGTACAGTTCATTTTATGAAGAGTATAAGCAAAGTCAAAAATAAAATACAGTCTTCACTTGTAAAGTTGTACTTCGTCTTTTAATGTCAAGAGATTTATTGTAGATCGGTAGATTGGTGTTAACGAAAAAAAAATAAAATCTGAAAATGAGTATTTTTTTAATTTACCTTAAACGGCCTTTTTCTCATTTTTGGCACTTTAACTTTAGCGACTTCTTCCTCCTCTTCCTCGTCGTCTTCTTCTTCTTCGTCTTCTCCATCTTCATCTGCTTCTTCTTCATCTTCAACCTCTCCAGGAGGAGAGCTGGCAAAATAAACATTGACATTGAAACATTTTATCAGGGAAAAAATGGCTAAAGAAAACGTTAAATATGATGATTAAAGATGGTCGACTTTAAATCGAGTTTTCATAAATTTTTAAACTATTAAATATTCTAATCTTATCCTGTGCAAAATAATAGCAAAACATTTATAGAATCAACAAAAGGCATTGAGCCTTTGCCACCAAATCTGATTTTCTAATCTTTGCAACCCAATTTCCACAGACCCTAGATATTTCAAACTATATAAAATTTGGTTTCATCAAATCATCTATAATGTTAGAGATATCAAAGACTTAAATCATTGAGTTGCAATGATGCGTTCGATTATTTCTTTTTGAATTCAATTACGGTTTGGTTTATAATTCAACAACCTTTAAACTTACAGAGTTATCTTTACAGGAAGTATCCGGCAATGTGGTTGAACTGAGAATGTAGTATTGTGGAGAAATCTTTTAGGATTCATTTGAGACACATAAAATGTTTCTACGAAGTATAATTACTGAGTTTGAGCGCAAAGCCGACGTTCAAAATCAACCAGTCGGGTGGTTAACTTTTGAGAATCGATTGTTTTAAAATTATTAAATAACGATGATGTAAAATGTAAAACAAATCTACAGTAAACAAAACAGTTGTTTAGGAATATTGAGAAAAAAAATTAACTCTTATCCTCGAAAATAATTAATTTTATTCAGTTATTGGTTTCTGTAATGTCTCAATGTTTAAAACCATTTTCTGTAGATTTCCTGAAATTTTTAATGAAAAGACGACTTTTGAAGAATTAGAAGAAATCTGCGGACAAATTCATAAAGAATAAGAAAATCAATATAATTGTGAAAAAGAAACAATCGATTCTAACATTGATTTATGGACAAATTTATAATGAGAAATATGTTACTAAACATCTAATTAGTTAACAGTAGAAATTTTGTTACATTTTTCCTCGTCCTTTTAGAACAGTTTTTATAATACCGACTCTCAAATTTATTCCTCCAAAATGGAAAATCAATGAGGATTTTAAAAATTGAATTAGTGCTAAACAAATATTCACCGTAAATCGTCTGACAGGTCTTAAATGAATCCTAAACAATTTCTCAATAATACTTCAATCTCAGTTCAACTACAGTGAAACCCTTAATAACGAATACATCGAAAGAATTCATCAAATGTCGTATTCTTCACTTTCTGATAATGGAATGTTGCAGATATTTAGTTTTAGTTTAGATATTTAGTTTTTTAGATTATATGGAACTCTTTAAAACTGTTCCCGCATATTCATGGCTATTTATTTATTTTCGCAAATATGGAAATTTACGTAATATAGTATAAAACCCATTGAAAAATTGTCAAGACGACATTTGATAATTTCTTCCGATGTATTCGTTATTAAGGGTTTCACTGTACCATACATTGCCGGTTGCTCCCTTTAAAAACGTTTCAAGTGATCAAAAAAAAAGGTGTAAAACTTATATTTAAAAGGTCAAATTGTGATCGAAAGTCATTGCTTGCAGGGATAAGGACCGAACTTTTAAATCCGCATGAATTCCTAAAGATGAAAAATCCATTTACTTTGTTGAGAGTTGAGTGGTGCTTGCAGGCGGTGGTGTGGTTAGCCCTGCTGCAGCTGGGACGGACAATGCCGCAACTATTTCTGAACTTAAAGTACTGGACTCCTCAGCTTCAGGCCTGCTGGATCTGAATAAAAAGTAACGTGGACGCAACTGGGACAATTTTTATTGACGTGAAGAAAAAATTTAAATTCGGGGTAACTCATAAAAGATGATGCATGTAAAGATGACTTAAAGAACTTGAAATAAGATGGTTCCAAATTTTAGTTCAGTCGTCTTTAGTCTTTACCAATAGCTTATTTAACAATTTGACGAAGAAAGAAACAATTTAAAGTTGCAGGAATATTCCGTACAGCCTTCTCTAGTCCCATCTTTTGTGGGTAACCCTGTATGGGAGGGTGAAAAATAGGGAATAACAGTGAAAAGTGGTAAAAGAGATGGAAAACTGTGTAAAAATGTAAAAAGGTGGAGCTGGTGAAAAATAAGTACAAAATGGCGGGAACCTGAATTCCACGTGTACTCCGTTATCCCAGATTCCAGAGAACTCTGCTCCGTCAGGATAAACCATTTTACCAAATCCAGTCCTGAGAGGGATTGTTCATAAATTTGGATTATGTAGAAAATATTGTTGCATCTTAAAGGGAGTGACCGGCAATGTATGGTAGTTGAACTGAGAATGTAGTATTGTGGAGAAAACTTTTAGGATTCATTTGAGACATATAAAATGTTTTAATGATGTATAATTACTGAGTTTGAGCGCAAAGTGGGCGTTCAAAATCATCAGTTTGTGTGGTTATGTTTTGAGAATCGAATTTTTTAGAATTATTAAATAATAACGATAAAAAATGTAAAAAAAGATCTACAGTGAACTATTTAGATGTTTAGGAACATATTTCTTAATTGAAATTTTCTTAATAAATCAATGTTAGAATCAATTCTTTCTTTTTCATCATTACATTGAATTTCTTATTCTTGAAGAACTTGTTCGCAGATTTCTACAAAATCATCAAATGTCTTTTTTTCAATAAAAATAACAGGAAATCTACAGAAAATGTTTGTGAACAATGAGACATTACAGAAACCAATAAGTGAATAAGATTACTTATTTTCGAGATAATAGTTAATTTTTGTTTTCTCAACCTGTTCCTAAACAACTAATAAGTTTACTGTATAATTTTTACGTCATTTTTCGTCGTCGCTATATTGAATATTTTTTTAAAAACTGATTCTCAAAATCATTCCTCAAAAATGAGCAATCTATGAGGATTTTAAAGATGAAAATTGCACTCTTACTGAACAAATATGCTTCGTTAAAACGTCTAATAGGTATAATTGTCATAAATGCAGTTTTTATTGTCTAAATATAATATTGAATTGTCTTAAAGGGAGTGACCGGCAATGTATGGTAGTTGAATTGAGAATGTAGTATTGTGGAAATTTTTTTTAAGATTCATGAGAGACATATAAAACTTTTTAATGATGTATATAATTACTGGGTTTGAGCGCAAAGTGGGCGTTCAAAATCATCAATTTGGGTGGTTACGTTTTGAGAATCGATGTTTTAGAAATAATTATATAACAACGACAAAAAAATGTTAAAAAAAATCTACAGTAAACTAATTAGATGTTTAGGAACATATTTCTTAATTGAAATTTTCGTAATAAATCAATGTTAGAATCAATTATTTCTTTTTCATTATTATATTGAATTTCTTATTCTTTATGAATTTGTTCGCAGATTTCTTCAAATTCTTTAAATGTTGTCTTTTCAAAAAAAATTCCAGGAAATCTAAAGAAAATGTTTGTGAACAATGAGAGATTGTAGAAACTAATAACTGAAAAAGATTACTTATTTACTATAAAAATAGTTAATTTTTATTTTCTAAACCTGTTCCTAGACAACTGATTAGTTTACTGTAGAATTTTTATGACATTTTTAGTCGTCGCTATTGAATAATTTCTTAAAAACTGATTCTCAAAATCATTCCTCAAGGATGAACAATCTATGAGGATTTTATGGATTGAATTTGCGCTCTTGCTGAACAAATATGCACCGTAAAAACGTCTCATAGGTCTCAAATGATTTCTTAAAAAATTTCTCCACAATACTAAATTCTCGGTTCAACTACCATGCATTGCCGGTCGCTCCCTTTAAATAATCCAAAAAGTGTTATCATAATCTTATTCACATTCATGCAGAAATAAATAAGTTATTTCTGATTGATGTTGACTAACATCTAAATAATTAGTGAAACTTAAGTAAAAGCTATATTTCAATATTTCTTAAACTTGGTTTTTGACTGTCATTGTAAAGAAATATCTAAGGTCTACGACATTGGGTCGCCAAGATATAGGGATAAGAAAATTTAAGTTTGTGGCCAAAACTCAGTTCCTTTATGAATATCTTGTGCATTCTTGATAAGACGAAGATTTGAAGAGAAGCATTGTGAATCTGACACTACTACAATACTACTCAAGATACCTCTGATCATTTAGATGATCTCCTTCATAACGAGCCCCGTTGGACCAAGAATATACTCCAATACCATTGAATCTTCCATCTTTAAACTTAACAAAAATACGTTAATTATTAGTCACAAAAACATTAGAATAAAGAATTGGCATATTTTGTCTATTTAAGTATGGTAAAATTATATGTAACTATAATGCTCCGCATTTCGTACAAATCTATATATAAACGTGACTTGTCTGTCTGTCTGTTTGTTTGTTTGTATCCAATAAACGTCAAAACGGCTGAACCGATCGGGCCCAAATTTTTTGTGGGACATCTAAGGACCCCAGGGAAGGTTTATGAATGATTGAAATTTTAAAAATTTGTGTTTTAGAGGTTTTTAATTTTGTAAAAAAATTTAAATTTTTGAAAATCCGCGAATTTTTTTTTTAAAAATCCGCAAAACTTTTTTCATCTTTGGTTTGAAATGTAAACAAAAAGAACATGTTTACAATTTAAATAGAAGATGGGCGCGAAGCGTCCTAAAAGCCTAGAAAGAAGGGCGCGAAGCGCCTAATTTCTAGTATTGTAAATTTACTTATCATCAAACTAGTTTTTTTAAAGAGAAATTTGTTTATATAGGGTGGCCCACGAAACATGACAGTTGGTGAAAAGTTTAAAATGTCTTCTTTCATAATTAGTTAAGTTGTTAGATATTAAAGAGAAGGATGAAAAATATTGTATGCCCATTATATTATTGAAAATTGATTTCAAAGTAAAATATATTTGAGAAAAGATGATTTTAACGAAATGACATTAATATCCAATATAAAATATGGAAGAAGACATTAAAAACTATTCAAGAACTGTCATGTTTAGTGGGAAACCCTGTATATGAGGATAAAATATATCTCTGAAAAGAACAAATTGGCGGACCAACATTATTTTATTTGAATGATTTCAAATCCATTACAAAAACACATTGAGAAAAAAAAAATAAAAAAAATATGTGGACTGCATCTCACATTTTAGAAATATTTTTTCTTTTTGATTATTTTCGTAGTTTTCAAAATAGATTTATCGGTGAAAATAGTATATAAAGATGACTATTCGCAACATAATTCACATGTTTTTTTGGACATACTGTGCAATAGATGTATTCATTAAAGCAGCATTGATAAAAGACAGCTTAAAGAGAGTGCCAGTATGCTATTTGCTTTTTTGCATGACAATATTTTGATTTTATGATGAAAAAAAAAAACTGTATTATTTTGGAACAATAACGTCATTGTTTTCATAACAGCAAGTATCTATTGTGTTCCTAATTGTTTGATGTTTCTAGTAACCCTGGGATAATATGATTTTTTTTCTTCAAAAATGACCAACATTCAACTTACAAAAAAACATTATGAATTTTTTTTTATTTTTAAAAAATGGGTCAGCGCACGCACGTCTACACTAAGGGAGGTCGATTTTTCAATTTTTTCGAAACATGTCGACATGGGTGGGTGTCTAAAGTTGCGCCTCTAACCATTGAATATTGCCCAGTTTTTTTTTTAAATTTCGAAAATTTGTTGATCTAGGGCCAAAAAACTATTATTTTTGGAAAACTCTGGCAAATTTTCCCTAAAAAGTTAGTTTTTTGCCTTGAACGAATTAAACCGATTTTTATGATTTAAACATTTTTGAATTCAGTGTTTCAAAACGGATGTTTTGGTTCCTATATCGACATGTTTTGAAAAAATTACATTTTTTCTTGCTCTAGTGTTTTAATATTTGAATATTTTGTTTTACTTTTGAACTTTTGAACTTTTGAACACGTGCTGGAAAGAAGTGAAAATTCTTATTAAAATAGTGCCAAATTATCCCACGCTTATTTGTAGTTGGAGTATTTTCAAATACAGGGTTACCCACAAAGGATGAGACTTCAAAGACGACCTTACACTCATTAAATGTGACCTTAAAAAAACTTTCATATAGTTATTGATTTGGCAAAGTAGAAAAAATGTTAACATTGGCAGAATACAAAGAATGTAAATACAAAGACTAAGTAAATTCTGTACAGTCGTCTCTGAAGTCTCATTCTTTATGTGAACCCTGTAGATGATCAATTCATTTAATTTTTCTTTTCCCGAAAATTACATCATTGTTACTTACCATTCCTTTGTAGGAATCCCCATTCTTATAAAGATATTCTCCATACCCCTCTTTTATTCCCTGAACACACCATTTGGATGGTTTTCAAAAAAAATGTAAGAAAATAGACGAATAGGAAATATGTAATGTTTAAAAATTCTCTAACCATCCGCCGTTTAAAATTTAATCCTCTATCAATAAAAAATTTAAGAAGAATTTTTCTTTTTTTAATTAAAAATTTAAAAATTATTTTATTTTTATTTTTGAAATCCATATTTCCTTTGACCATCCGCCGTTGTATTTATATCCGTCGGTCCAAGTGAAAGTACCATTACCATCCTCTAAATCATCCTAAAAACAGTCGTCTTTGTTTATATCGTTTGTACAGAGTTGATTTGGAACTCCGGAGCTGAGCAAGGTTAGGCTTCAACTGCTTCTATCAACTTTTTAAGATTCCAAAATTAGTTTTAAAAGTTTTAGTTTATGTAAACACCCGGCAGAGTTCCCATATACAGTATACATGGATGATTGCAACCATGTTCTAACATTCTTTGCTAAAAATACGTACTCCCTTCTCACGCAAAAACCTATATAAAATTTCTACAATTTCTTCTTTCACACTAAAGCTACAAACAAGTTTTGGTTTTGTAATGAACAAGTCTTGGACTACAAAAAAGTAGAAATGAGTCAGATAAAAACCAAGGTTTTGGGAAACTTGAAAGTCGATCCGGTCTTGAATATTGATGCATACTTTTTAGAGCTGTCTGGATCTGTGTGTGTTTCTCTTTTTTTTCTGGGTTTGTCATCCATTAGCCATCGAAAATCAAGAAAAATTTTAAGTAGTCTCTAAATTCTTTTTGGGACACCTGGCCTGCTTATTTCTCAGTAAAGATTTTAAACGATTAGTTGAAAAGTCTAAAATCTAAATTTTTATTTAAAGGGACTGTAAACGTAGTTTTTAAGGGACCTCTCATTCGAAAAAAATGGTAGCATGTCCGATTCATAACGGTACCCTTTAAACCTCTATATCTGAGTAATGGAGGACGGTATTGATGTTTTTCTATCTAAAAACGGGTTTAATTATGACAATTTCCTTCTCTGTCTCCTTAATCCGCAATTCACTTTGAGAGAGAAACTAACAAATTTTTAGCTAGAAAAATGATGATATTTAATTCAACTTTGAAAAAGGTCAACGTAGTGAATCGTGCATTGTCCCTTAAAGAAAAATGGTGTCTTGTCCCTTTAATACCTACAGCTAATAGTTTACCTTATAATCTCCTGAGTATTTGTTGCCACTAGGGAAGAAAAAAGTTCCTTTTCCGTGTTTTTTCTCTTCAAGAAATTCACCCTTATATAAGAAAATCAGAAAATTACCTTTTTTTTTTGTTTATAAAATTTTTTTTAATTTTTAAGTTTTATTAAAAATATTTTAAATTCTAATTTTTAGTTGTAGAATTAAATTTTATAATCGTTGGTCAGGGAACTCTTTGAAAAAAATCTTTTGCAAAGTAAACAGGAAACATCCAGAAAAGTAATTTTTGTTATTGATTAAAGCAAAAAATTTCTAAATAAGTTTTACTAAAATAAAAAAATATGTTAACCTTGAATTTAAAAAAAATTTTCTTTATTTTTTTTTCTTGCTTTAATTCTGGAAAATTACGCGATGGTTAAAAAGTGTGTCCAATCGGAATTCCGTTGTGCGCAATAACTGCTTTTACCTGCACACAATTGCATAGCTCGAAATTTGTGGAATTGCTTAAAAGTAAACGTGTATCAAATAGGGGCTGTGGTCTCCCATATTTGCATCTTTAAAATTGACGGAGATGTTGAGAGAATTTTGTCCAGTGTCCGAATTTAATGAATTTAAGCCTCGTCTCAAAATCCCACAAAAACCGCGGTTTTAATTGAGCGCCTGCTTAAATCTTTAAAACACTAATAGAATTTTAAGTAAAACCAACCATATTTGATCCGCGGCTTAAATTTAAGCCGCAGCTCAAATTCTTTAAATTCGGCCTCAGATTTTAGTTTATTAAAAACAACAAAATTGTTCAAATGTTTAATATCATTGTCATGCAATTTTAAAGAGACAAATAAGGAAGACCACATTTTAAAAAAAAACTCAGAAGACGTTTCTTGATTCACTATTTGTAATTCATTCATTGTCGGAAATTTTGTTATTTTAAAGTTTAATTCAAAATAAAAACCATTTTCCAAGAAAACTGTTCTGAGAAACTACACAAAAATACGCGGGATTGCGAAATATTTACTTGCAATTGTTGAGCGATATTATCAAGAAATTGCAATTGCACACAAGTAAAAAGCTAATAAAATGAGAAAAAAAGCCCACCTCATATTTTGATTCGTCCGAGTATGAAATTACTCCATTTCCCTTGGCTCCATCCCACTCTCCAGTATACAGATCTCCATTCCTGAACTCCATTTTCCCAGCTCCAAACCGTCTCCAGTCTGTAAAGGGATCATGGTGACGTAATTTTAAGTAACCCTTAATTCTTCTAAGTAAAAATGATGATAAGAACATCCTTGTTTTTCTATCTGAAAACTGATGTTCCAACGCAAGTTACTTGTGAATGCAAAATAGACAACGAAGGAAATTGTCAAAATCCAACACTTTTTAGATAGGAAAACGACGATATCTTCCTCATTGTTACTCAAATAAAATTTTAAAAGGTATCAGTGTAAATCGGTCAATTTTCTCTTAAAATTCGAATTTCTTGAAGTTACAGTCTTTTGAAATAAAAGAGGTTATAACGAATATTAAAGGGTTCGGAAGGACTGCTTTCTCCTCCAGACCAGAGTCATCTAACGGTCAAATATAGAAGTTTGATAGGACCTTCGCATATCGGCCTAAAAATGCGTTTGGGAAAGATGAGAGGCACATTCCTTTATTACAGTGTAAACCAAAAAAGATGAATGTGTTTTTGATGTCTCAGTGTTAATGATTAGAATTGGATTTTTAAAATTATTTGCACAACATTTCTATTTTTCAATAAAAAAAAACATTTATTTGGATTTTGTTAATAGCGTCAATACAACAATTGATAAAATAGAATAATAACATATCTTAATAATATGTTACAGAGTGTCCCAATAAAAATGAGAATAAAATTTTTGGGACACCCTGTAACAAACTTACCTTTAAACGATCCAATATAGCTGTGCCCGTCTCTATAGTTTATGTTGACGTTAAAGTAATTTTTTAGAAATCTATGATAAATAATTTGAAATTGAGACTAAAATAAGACTCGAGCCTTGGCATGTGTTGGGGATAAGATTTCTTGGAGTATAATTTAAGAATCAGTGAATTACGTCGCCGAATCGGGATTAACTTTGAAAATTAGAGTTGAGACTATATGTAGAGATTTCAGAAATATATATATATATTTGAATTTCCGATCCGGGTCAACCTTTCCGGTCCAAGTTTATACTGTACCTAGCTCTATAGACAGGACTAGCCGGTGCAACAAGGTTGACGTGGTCAGACTTTATGCTTTATATAAGCTGAATTTACTTTTACTAAAGGGGCAGATTTGCGTGATATATATATATATATTATTTTTCACCATTAATAGTGAAGTGATAACCAGAAAACAACGGAATAGGATTACGATATTACAGCAATATTTAAGTGTATTTGATGTTGTTATAAAGTGAATAGTTTTACTAGGCACTTTAAAAAGTTAATAATTTAGTGAAATGGGTCTGTTTACACTGCATAATTACTGTGTCTAATGTCCATTGCTTCCTATCTCAGAGTCTTCTGGTTCTCCTGTAGAAACGAAGACTGGGCAAAGTTCCGGTAACGAAACAGAGGTTTTTGAAAATTAACAGAAGAGTCCGTTAACGAATGGCAAAAACCGTTAATTTTTAAATCGTTAACGACACGGATTAGCCGTTTTTGATGAAAATAAATTAACAGTTGAAAACGAAATGGATTTTTTTTTAAACAGTGAATTTTTCTTCTGCTTAAAATTGCATCCATTTTTTTACGTGTTCTGATGTTTTTAAATGTCGGCTTCTGTGTTCACAACCATTAACACTTTCATAAACCACAAAAAAAAAAAATTTCCCGCGCTTCGCACTTTTAACGCCGTTTTATATTGTAATATACAATTAACGGCTACGCCGTTAACGATTTCACTGACCACAAACAACATTTTGTAATGTAAATGCCGTTAATTTTGCAATAATTTGTTGACAATTTTCCGTTAGCTATAAAATTAAGATCGTTAAGTTTCGTTCTTACCCTCTAAAACTAACGGCTACCTGAGATTTATTTTTCTAACCGTTACCGAAACGGTTTGAAGCCCAGCCCTAGTAGTAACTAGAAATACTGAAAAAAATTATAGCTTGTTATTTATTTCAAACACATAAAATTCATTTGAAAGATTTGAAATCATTCCAATCATTTAAACGGGGAGGGAGGATCCCATTCATGTAAGAAATAATCGTCTCCTTTCGTTACATTTCCAGTTGCTAGTAAATTGTCTCCATATTTAGTCGTTTCCTAGAATTCAACAGATTTTAGTCATGTTAAACTAAAATAAATAAGATTTATTCAATCATTATTTATCTGTTGTGTTGTGAACTTCTAATATTTAATAATAGAGGAGCTACAAGATCATAAAATCGTACTAGAAATTTAATTGTTCCCTCTCTTGGTCCCTCTATTTAGTCTGCAGCGAAGTATTGCTAAATTGGAGTCTTTTTTTTTTACAAAACTGCTTTGATAAATAATAACCTTCTGTAGTGAACTTTTAAAACTCATAAAAATGTGGAATAAGAAGACGACTTTTAGACCCGAGTTATGATACTGCAGTGTAGGCGATTATATCAATACAATGAAGACGATTTTTCTATTTAAATTTTGATTGTTTTTTTTCCAAGCAATCAAAAAGAAGCTTTTTTAATTGACAGCTTCTCTTGACTTATATGTTTATGTTTAATGTGTATCCAATCCATGCTGTTAAACAGCTTAACATCAATCAAAATTAAAATAGAAAGTCGTCTTTAATGTATTGATATAATTACCTACCACTGTGAATAGTCCAAATGAGCATGTAGCACAGTCATTGTAAAGTATACGAAGTCCAATTTCACTTTCACTGTCGTCTTCTCTTCCACGGTTTTATGGGTCTTACTGAAGAAGTTTTTTTTCTTGATATATGGCAAAACCATGGAATACAATTTTTCGATAAGAATTGTTTTAATAATTGAGAAAACTCAAGTAAAGTCAAAATTGTTTAGCAATGAAAAAATTAAAACCGAAATATACGTTTTACATATTTTAACCTATATACCTTACAATGGTAAAGTCAGGGGAGAATTACAAAATTTCCTAAAACAGCTGGGGTTGGGGGGGGGGAATTTGTGCAACTTTTTCATTTAAATCAATAAAAAACTTTTTAAACAAGTTGTTTATGACTGTCTAAAAAATTCAGAGACGACCTTTGTCCACTTCATTTTGTAAAAATTTTAAAATTTTCTGTAATATGTGTAAAAACAGCTTTTGTGAGCTGTTTTCTCTTCATCTAAATATTTTTTTTTCAACAAATTTTCCTTATTTTCCATGTTTAGAATTCCTCTTTTTTTGTGTACCTCTGTATCTGCTGTCTCAATAATTAAGAATTTTGTTGAAACCATTTGAAGAAAGCAGAAGCATAAAATAAACAGTTTCAACATTCTGAAATTATCTATCATTAATCATGGCTATTTCTGTAGCTCTAAAATGCTACTTGAAACCCACGGAATTCGGTGTTTGAAATGTGGCTAGGTAGTGCCGTGGTTCTCAGACGCTTTTTTCGTCTGTTTGGATTTGATTTTGATTTTGATGGTGTAGATTTCGGAAAAACTAAGATTTTTGACCCAGGGTGTATTTCAGTGTTACCCACCCTGCATCATACATGATGTATTCAAAGTTGTAAAGTGCAAACCTGAGAACTGTGGAATAGAAAGACGACTTTTAGAATAAAGGTATGATTTTAGATACAATAAAGACTACTTTCTATTTCAAACAGCAGAGACACATAAACATTTAAACAACGAAATTGTCAATTACAGCATCTCTTGTTTACATGTTAGCTTTTTAACAGTTTATAAAACGCTTGTCAGAGATCAATGCTTTTCATTGCATTGATATAAGCGCCGGCCACTAAATGAAGCAATGGTTTACTTAATAAATTATGAATAAACTGATAGCAAACCCTTTTGCTTGGTGGCAACATCAAATACACACTTAAATTGCAAAAAATGTCGTCTTTCTATTCCTTAGTTTAAAGGGTTTTATTGTATCAATATGAAGTTCATTTTTATAAAATTTTGTGTTCACTAATTTTATTATAACATTAAATGAATAAAAACATTACATGATAAATGCCAAGCGGCATTTTTTGAGGGAACCCATGGCCGTATCCTGAAGGTAACATAGGCTAAAATTATTCGATCTTTTTTTAAAAAAAATTTTTCAAAAATTTAATTTTTTTTCTTATAAATTAGATTTTTTCTTTCAAAATTTCAAATTTAATTTTCTTTTAAATTGGATTTTTTAAAATTCCACGGGCAACGCCGGGCACTTTAGCTAGTATTGGATATATTATATTTTTATGTTAAAACTCACCTATGGTCAATGCTTTATCAAGATTAAAGTAAAAATACCATTAACAAGATTGTCATAATTTATTATAAATTATTATAATTTTGTCTCAAATTTCTAATTAAAATTTAGGATAAAATAATCTTGTCTAATCAGCATTGACAATTGGTGAGTCTTAATTTAAATATATAATATATTTAATACAGTAATTACCAGAAAATAATGGAATAGGAAGACGACGTTAAAGCAATACTTGTTTTTCATGTTGTTACAAAGCAAATAGGTTTACTAGACACTTATTTATTCGCTAATTTAGTGACTATTTACACTGCACAAGTGTTGAAATACATCACATACAGGGTGTCCCACGAAACATGACAGTTGGTGAATAGTTTTGTTTGTCTTCTTCCATATTGAAGACTTTTTGTAGCTCATTTTGTTAAAAAAATATTTTACTCAAATATATTTTACGTTGAAATTAATTTTACTTTAAGATGCATGACTCCCATACAATATTTTTTATTATTCTCAAACAACTTAACAAATTATAACAAAATTTTAAACCATTCACCAACTGTCATGTTTCGTTGAACAGGTATGATGCCTAGGGGAGGGTAACTGCACTGAAATACACCATGGTTTAAAATTTTTAGTTTGTGTCAGCAATCTTCAATATTAAAATCAAAACCAAAATCAAATTGACGAAAAAGCCCCTCCTGCCTTTCGTCAGAAAACCTAGCCACCGCGCCGTCCCAGCACGGAAATCTGATGGTTTTAAGTGACTGATACTATATAATTTCAGAATGTCGAAACTGTTCATTTTATTCTTCTGCTTTCTTCAGATGTTTCCAACAAAATTCTTTCTTGTCGAGACAGCAGATGTAGAGGTACCAAAGAGAATAGAATATATATTAGAGTGGAGTTTACTAGAAAAAAGTGTAAAACGGCCATTTTGTTGTACTGTTTCCATACTGCAGGTGTACTTCACATATTTGCGCTATATAAATTTTGGGCCCTGGAATTTAATATTAAAAGAAAACCAAATTATGAAATAGGTTGGTTTCATAATTGACCAATGATCATTTCACATAGACTCTATGCCTTTCACTTTACAAACGATGATTTTCCGTTATAACTATAAATCAAATTATGTTTTTTATTCACCTTTAAAAAATTCGAAATTGAAATGAATAGTCTAGGGAACATACTGTATTAATGTACTCTACTGCTTATAATTTGTAAACATTTACATGATTTGTACACTTTGAACTCCCTTTCAGGCTGAAAGGGACTGAAAAAGTGCATACCGAGGGATTGTCTAAATTCCCCTCTAATATACATATATTCTATTCTCTATGAGAGGTACACAGATAGATTAAATAGATGGGAAAATAAGGAAAATTTTACGGGGGAAAATATTGAGATGAAGTAAAGACAGCTTACAAATATTTGTTTTTAAAAATAGTTTCAATTTTGATTTAGTTTTGACTTTATCTTAAAGGGACAGACTGGCCGTTAGGATCATCATGAATTTGGGTGGGTACGTTTTCAGAATCGGTTTTTTAAAATTATTAAATAACGACGACGAAAAATATAGTAAAATTCTATATTTTACTAATCTTATGTTTAGAAACATATTTCTCAAAAAATTTTTTTTTCAATAAATCGAAGTTAGAATTAACATTTTCCTTTTTCTTCATATTATATTGGATTTCTTAATTTCTGTGAATTTGTTAGCAGATTTCTTCAAATTCCTAAAATGTCGTCTTTTTGATAAAAAGTCCAGAAAATCTTTGCGATTAAAGGGCGATAATAGAAACTAATAATTTAATAAGATTACTTATTTTCGATGATAAGGGTTAATTTTTTATTTTCTCAACCTGTTCCTAAACAACTAATTAGTTTACTGTAGAATTTTGTTTAAATATTTTGTCGTCGTTATTTAATAATTAAAAAACAATTTCTAAAACGTATCCACCCAAAAGTACGATTTTAAACGTCGACTTTGCGCTAAAACTCAGGATTTACAGTTCTTTAAAAAGTTTTATATGTTTCAAATGAATCCTAAAGAATTTGTCCACAACATGCATACTCAATTTAACTACCTTACAAAGCCGGTGTGTCCCTTTAATCTGTTTTGCTAAATGTTAAAGGACTGTAAGCGTAATCACAAGTAACCTTTCATTTAAAGAGGGGAGTCCCCAATTCACAAAGGTACCCTTGAAACCTTTACCTTCTTTTTTAATGTTGTTATAAAGCTATAGTTAGTTTTACAGGTTGCTTGAACATTTACGTACTAAGTAAATTGTGCCTGAGTATACTGCACAAGAGTAAAAGTTCACTCCAGAAGATCATCAAAGCAATATTGTAAAATAGACAGTATAACATTTCACTGTAATTTCCCTGGAAGGACCTATAATTCATTTGGCGTACTCTCCCGTTTTGCCTAGTGTGTAGGTGTACTGTACAGCTTGCCCTGCTCCCTTATCATCAGTCGTTACGGCACTTGAAATGACCCAGACCAATGTATGCGACATTACTGGTGCGAAATTGTGACCTTGTAGCTCCCTAGGAGTATGGATTAGAAGGTAGATACAACTGACGCGGCCCGCCCTACCATATGATTAAACGTGCTTTGCAGACGGGTACTCCATTTGTATAAGAAATATTCAGAAAAGGTTATTGCAATACGCGGTAATTGTACATCAGACAAATATTTCTTATTCAAATGAAGTACCGTCTGCATGTATAATCATATGGTAGGGCAGGCCGCGTCAGTTGTATCTCCCTTCTATTCCATACTCCTTAGTACATAGCTCCTTTGGTTTTTATTTATCAAGTATGAGATATGAAATTTATCCTCGGTGTTACATATTTCAAATTTAAACAGCTCTTCAATAAAATAAGTTATGATTTGAAAAAAAAAACATTTCTATCTTACGTAAAATTTACTGTGGTTTAACGTAGCTAACACATAGAGAATAAAATATATATTAGAGTGGAATTTAGAGAATCTCTCGGTTTGAATTTTTTCAGTCCCTTTCAGCCTGAAAGGGAGTTCAAAGTGTACAAATCATGTAAATGTTCACAAATTATATGCAGTAGAGTACATTAATAATATTCTATTCTCTATGAGCTAACATCTTTTAAATTTCAGGCAACGAATGCAGAAGATTATATCTTTTATGGTGGTAATTATCCTTCATTTAATCCATTAGATATAGAGAAGGGGAAAAAAGAAGACTTAAGAAAACAATTAGAGAGAAAAAAAAAAGAAGAAAATAAAATAAAAAAAGAAAAAGAGAAAATAAGAAAAGAAAAGAAAAGAAAAAAACAAAAAAAGACAAGAAATATTGAAGCACCATCAATTCGGAATACTGATAAATTTGAATAAATCTTTGAGATCCTTTTTGAAATAAATAAATTGATTAATAATATTTACAAGAATTGCATATTTATAATGTATCATTATTATTATTATGATTTATTATAATTGTGTGTCGAATTTCTAATCCAAGTTTATGATTCAATAGAATAATCTTGATAAAGCAAACAGTTTCTGAAGTCACTAATTTAGTGAAATGGAACTGTTTAAAGTGATGTGTGTCAAGCTCATTGGACTTTTTAAAGTTATAACTTGATTCTAAAAGTCGTCTTCCTATTTCTGAGTTTCTTTTGGCTATTACTGTATTACAAGAAGCGTCCTTTTATCCAAGTATTTCACTGGAAAAAATGTATGTTTTGGACAAAGAAAAGTTTATTCATAATTTGGGCTGATGGAGGTTTATAAAAGAATAAATTTATAAATGAGACAAAAAACCTCAACATAGTTTTATTTAAATAATGTCAAATTCTACATTTTTAAAGTTATAAACTGATTGTAAAAGTTGGATTTCTATTTAAGAGTTTTTTGTTTATCGCTTTATATGTACAATATTATTATTATCAATAAAGATGTAATTGCACAAAAAAGAATTTCTTAAAGGGCCTATAAGCATAATTTCAAGTCACCCTCCATGCAAAGAATGCAATACCCGATTCACAACGACACCGTTATCAGAAAAATACTATGGAAGATATTGTTGTTTTTCTGAGTTTAAAAGTGTTTAATTGTGATAATTTCTATACGTTTTTTTGCAGTAGAAATGTGTAAGTCATTTTTTGTAAAAAAACGAAAATTTTAAATTTTCAAAAAAAGTGTTCAAAATAATAAAACATTGATAGGTTTACTATCCCTTACGAAAATGCACCTCCGGCGTGCCGCGCCACCTAGCCACCGTCCCAGCACTCAAATCCAAGGGTTTCAAGTAGCATTTTAGAGTTACAGAAACAGCCGTGATTGATGATGCATAATTTCAGAATGTTGAAACTATTTATTTTATGCTTCTGCTTTCTTCAGATGGTTTCAACAAAATTCTTGCTTGTTGAGACATCAAATACAGAGGTACACAAAAAAAATTATAGTGTCTGTAAGCTTAAATTGAAGTAACCCTCCATACAAATAGGGCCATGCTCAATTCACAACGGTACCCTAGAAACCAATTTACAAAGGTACCCTAGAAACCAATTCACAACGGTACCCTAGAAACTAATGCACAACGGTACCCTAGAAACTAATGCACAACGGTACCCTAGAAACTAATGCACAACGGTACCCTAGAAACCAATTGCTTGAAAATTTACTGATTATGTCAAATGGGTGTGTGCTAGGGTTTCCAGCCAAATGGAAACATCTTTCGCGAAAAAAATTTATTTTGTCGAAAATTTCTCATTTTTTCGCGTTCCTTTCTTAGAAAAAATGAGAAATTCTACGTTAATCTGAGTTAATTTTTGCATAACAAAAGTGCGAAAATTTCGGGTAAAAATGCAAAAATTCTGTGATGCGAGAAAATGTGAGGATGTGAGAAATGCAACTTTATTCAGCAAGATGTTAAAAATTTTAAATGTTATGCTCTTCTCAAAAGCTCTTTAATATGTCGAAGTTATTGTACAAATAAAAATATAATTGAAATTTTCTTTAGTTTAACATAGCGGATTTTTTATTTCAGTCAACAAATAGTTCTGGAGACGAAACCAAAGCAGAAGATTATCTCTTTTATGGAGGAGAATATCCTTCCTTCGATCCACTAGATATAGAGGCTAGAAGAAAACAAGCAGAGGCAAGAAGAATAGAAGACGAAAAGAAAGGAAAGAATAAACCATGGACATTTCCCTTAAATCAAGGTCCTAATAAATGGAAAATATGGAAACAAGAAAAAGAGAAGGAAAGAAAAACCAACTTAAGGAAACAATCAGAGGATGTAAGAAATAAAGAAGAGAAAAAAAGAAAAGAAGAAGAGAAAATAAAAAAAGAAGAGAAAATAAAAAAAGAAGAGAGAATAAGAAAAGAGGAAAAAATAAAAAAAGAAGAGGAATTAGAGATAATAAAAAGAAAAGAAGAAAAGAGAAGTAATATTCCATCACTACCAACACCACCAATATGGGGTTTATATGATAAATTTGATTGAATCTTTATGTTTGTTTCGAGGTTTTGGATCCTTTTCAAATAAATATAAAGCTATAATTTTTCAAGCATTATATACAGTTACTAATAATTGTAAACATTTAAACATTTTGAGAGTAATATCCCTTAATAAACTATACCTTAGTTAGGTTCACATTGTCTTTTAGTTTTACAGGGTTAAAGGGAGTGACCGTCTAGACATGGAAGTTGAGCTGAGAGTACTTCAGAACAATATTTTTAGGATCCATTTGATATCTATGTCCTATAAGACATTTTTACGATGTAAAATTCTACCGGATTGTCAATTTTGGAGAATACGTCAAGAGAATCGTTTTTTTTTAATTATTTAATAACGACCTGAAGACATAATTTTAAAGCTGCATTTAAAAGAAGTATTTTTAAAGCTGCATTTTAAAGAATTAATTTTAAAGCTGCATTTTAAAGAATTAATTTGAAAGCTGCATTTTAAAGAAGTAATTTTAAAGCTGCATTTTAAAGAATTAATTTTAAAGCTGCATTTTAAAGAAGTAATTTTAAAGCTGCATTGTAAAGAATTAATTTTAAAGCTGCATTTTAAAGAATTATTTTTAAAGCTACATTTTAAAGAATTATTTTTAAAGCTGCATTTTAGAGAATTAATTTTAAAGCTGCATTTTAAAGAATTAATTTTAAAGCTGCACTTTAAAGAAGTAATTTTAAAGCTGCATTTCAAAGAATTAATTTTAAAGCTGCATTTTAAAGAACTAATTTTAAAGCTGCATTTTAAAGAATTAATTTTAAAGCTGCATTTTAAAGAATTATTTTTAAAGCTGCATTTTAAAGAATTATTTTTAAAGTTGCATTTTAAAGAAGTAATTTTAAAGCTGCACTTTAAAAAAGTAATTTTAAAGCTGCATTTTAAAGAATTAATTTTAAAGCTGCATTTTAAAGAAGTAATTTTAAAGCTGCATTTTAAAGAATTAATTTTAAAGCTGCATTTTCAAGAATTAATTTTAAAGCTGCATTTTAAAGAATTAGTTTTAAAGCTGCATTTTAAAGAAGTAATTTTAAAGCTGCATTTTAAAGAATTAATTTTAAAGCTGCATTTTAAAGAATTAATTTTAAAGCTGCATTTTCAAGAATCAATTTTAAAGCTGCATTTTAAAGAAGTAATTTTAAAGCTGCATTTTAGAGAATTAATTTTAAAGCTGCATTTTAAAGAGGTAAACTTAACGATTTTTGCTTGAGACCTTGCGCACTGTAAACTCCTTAAGTGCTTAAGGGCAAATATTAAGTTCAATAGGTGGCAACACAAAAATGGATTAATTATGCACGACGTCACAAGTGTCAAATATAACAAGAAAACGAAATTTTCTCACAATAGTTGACATGTTTTCCAAAATTAATTAAAAATGTGTAAAAACAGAAAATGAAGAACATATAAAATTGCACTTATTTTGATGTAAAATAAGCACTTTGTTCTAAAATTATCACTCTTATTAATAATTTTGTCGGACACAAAAACTAAGTTGACACTTGTGACGTAAGAATACAGACTGAGAGTGTACAAAATCTACTTTGCCATCTATTTGATACTAGAATCTATTTGATCGTAGGTCGGCTTTTAAGCGGTCAGAGCAAGTTGTACAGTACACAAACTTTGTTTTGAACTGGTCTAATTTAGACGATTATAAATGTCGTCTTTACTCTAAGTTACCTGGTATCCATCCACTATATAAAGAGCACGTTTGTGAAGAGACCCAAAATTAAAAAATCAGTTTTCAAAACTATAATGTATATTGCATATTGTATATCGTATATTGTATACTGTATATTGTATATCGTATATTGCATATTGATTGTTTATCATTCAAACTTGAGCTTGATCAGACAAAGCATTTAAGGGTACCATTGTGAATCGGGCATTGTGAATCGGGCATTGCCATCTCTGCATGGAGGGTCAATAAAAATTAGGAGTACAGTCCCTTTAATAAGTTGATTATCAAGCCTCTAATAAACTATCAAATTCTTATTCCACAGATTAATGGGTCTCATTGTACAGCAAATGCTCTGAAGTCATAAATAAACCAAAGAAAAATTAATCAAAAATAAAAAAATTTCCTCATTTTTTAATACAATTAGACCCGTAAAACTATATTAATGAAAAAGCGATTGTTTGAACATTTTCTTTTTTGGTTCGTTTCTTTACTTCGAAATTTAACACAGTGTAATAAAAAGCAAATGTTTAAATAAACAATTTAGAAAACAAAACAGAAGACGACATCTAAGCATTATGTGTATTTGATGTATCTCTAAAGAAAATAATCAAGTGAAATGGGTCTGTGCACACTGCACAACTGCTGTATTGAATGCTTATTAAACTATTTAATATTATTTCCGTAGTTTGATGTTTCTCACTGTCCATTTTTGACTAGACCTAAGCTCTAAACTTATAGAAACAAGTAAAAGTTATAAACTTATTTTTAAATTTTTTTTCTCAAATTTTTCTGACCTGCCATCGTTGAAGTCTCCCTCGTATTTGTCCAGGTTTCCGAAGAAAAAAGTTCCTTCTCCTTCAAACTTTCCATTCTTAAACGATCCCTCATACCTAAACAATAGATCTTAAGTACTTTCCCAAGGGAATTTTCCCAAACAATAACTTCCCAAATGTGCAATTTAGCAAGCGGCAACTTCCCAAGTCTGTCCTANGTGTGTTATGACTTTATAGTTCCTAAGCATATTTTAAATGATTGGTAACCTATTTCAAAATACTAAAAAATTCACTATTTTGTTAAAACCACGGTTTTGTTAGTTCACACAAACCGAAAGCTTAGCTGCGAAATATTACGTGATTTGCTTTTGGTTGAATCAAAAGTAATGAAGAAATCTGCGAAATTCACATTAAACATCGTTTTTTTTTCTGCGAGCGAACACTAGATAGTAGATAATAGATAGAGAGTTTTGAACATTGTCGCGTTTTGGAACACCTTTGTGCGTATAAGGTACAGGGTGTCCCACGAAACATGACAGCTGGTAAATAGTTTTAAATGTCTTCTCCAATAATTTTTTAAGTTCTTTGGTATTCAAAGAGAATAATAACAAATATCACTTGGCAGTCATATTATACGGTGGTAGGCGATTATACCAATACAATGAAGACGACTTTCGGTTTTAATTTAAATTTATATCAAGCTTTAAGACAGCATGGTTTTGATACACAAATAATTGGAAACAAAGAGAAGCTTTTATTAAAAAAACTTTCTTTATTTACTTGTAAACTTGTTAATCGAAAAAAAGCTTGTTAACAATTAAAACTTTAATAAAAGTCGTCTTCATTATATTTATATTATCGCCTACCACCGTAGTAAAAATTGATTTAAAGTAAAATACGTATACTAAGTTTGTTTTGAACGGGATTTATTTAGTTTTTTTGCATTAAGAGTTTCTCACGGGCCAGAACTGGATTATTTCTGTGCTTAATCATTTGGTAATTATCAAAATACTTAATTAAATATAGAAACCAAATATCAAGCTTTAAATCGTCATATTCTTTTAGTTTTGGGTCGTCTTTGACAGTCTCGTTCTTTGTGGGTAACCCTGTATAGTATATGGAAGAAGACATTCAAAACTAGTTACCAACTGTCACGTTTCGAGGGACACCCTGTACGTTAAAGTTGTAATCCTAAAATGAAAAATTATGGTTTTATGTTTTTTTTTTAATTAACCAATAGACTGTTTAGACTGTTATGAAAATATATAATTTTTTAATCTTACCAATTGATCCCTCTTTAAAGCAGTCTAAGAGTTCAGTACACTGAAACTTAGTTCCGTCTCCCCATCTTATCAAAACCATTCATTATTTATAGAAGAATGCAGAGGTTGAATTTAAAAAATTGAAACCACGTCGCTGAACAGTCAAAACCGGTTCCAATTGAGCGCTGGCTTAGATCTCGAAACACTGAATGCAATTTTAAGTGAAACCAGCCATGTTTGAGCCGCGTCTCAAATTTGAGACGCTGGTTAAATTCTTTAAATTCAGCCTTAAGATGTGACTTAAATCAGCCCCCCCCTTCATATTTATACTTAACATAATTGAGATGTTTTAACTTACAATAAAAGGGGTCTTTTATTTTTGAATAAACTGGTAAAAATGTTTTAACGAAACATTATTTTTTAATTTTTTAACAAAATGGTTTCCTGAAGTGTAATGCCTGTCCTTCCATTACACCACTGACAATTCTACCCTAGAATATTTATTAATCTATTGTGTTGATCGATTGATTGATTATATATAATAGATTGGTTTATTAATTAATTGATTAATGATTCATTTGTTAATTTACCAAATGGTTAACTGATTTATAAAAGAAAAGTTTTATTGATAAATTATTAACCTGATATGAATTGCCATTACTCCAATAGAAAGCTCCCCAACCCTGAAAAAAATAACCAAAAACTGTATTGTACCATAAATTACTATAATTACAGAATTTACTGTATGAGGCCGAATTAAACAAATTTGAGACGAGGCTCAAACATGGTTGGTTCCTTGAGTCGGTGCTCAATTGGAACCATTTTTCAAAGATGCAGTAAAGTTTTTAAAATTTGGCCTCTGTAGTCTGTACTATGTACACTGTACAGTTATATAAATTACTGGCTGAAGGGCCCGGCGTTGCCCGTAGAAAAAAATATAAAAATTTTAGCCTATAACACCCCCCGGCCACCCATGAGTGTCCACAAAAAATTTCAGCCCAATCGGGTCATTTGGTCAATTTATTTTATAATTGTAAAACTACAAGATTTTCCTTTTGATGTGAAAATTCATTTCATACTAATGAAACATTTTTACGGCGTACAATTCTTAAATAAGAGCGTGGAGTCGTTTGTAATATTTAACCAGTTGTTTCAGCCAACAGAAGAAGCGTTATTTTACAATTCTTAAGTAACATGGACAAAACATGAAAAAAACACTATTCTACTAGTTGCATGTATACAAACAGGTTTAGAAAAAAATTGAACTTCTATCATCGAAAATAAATTATTAAAATTTATTTTACAGTCTTGCAGGTTTATGCAAATTTGTTCAGCTCGGGTCGCTTGTTCGAGGGTTTCTTTATTTTAATTGTGAAGACGACATTTTGAAGAAATCTGCGAAAAATAATCATAGAAACAGCAAAGGTAATAGTGATAATGAAAAATATAATGAAACAATTGTAATAAGCAATTCTTTTGCTGAAACAGCAGGTGAAGTATTTAAAACCACTTTACTCTTTTATCTAAATATTGTACACCATAAAAATGTCTCATTGGTATTGAATACTAACGTTTTTCTCTAAAATACTACTATGTTACATAGGCGGTCTCTCCCTTTAATATATTTCTAAAATCACTATATATACTGCAGCAGCACACTGCACAATTATCTCAAAAATATCTTGAAATGCCAACTCCTATACCTGAATCTGGCCATTCTCCCATGCTCCCACATAGCTGTCTCCATCAGGCCAGATCATTGTTCCAAATCCATCCTGAGGTCAAAATTTTTAGATTCTAAATCAGTTTAAAACATGCTAGTTGGTTNTAGAAGTTGTTGTGGCTGGCCTTCCTCCCCTCTCTGGCCAATCACTTTAAATTTTTGTTTTAAAGTCAACACTCCTGTACACCATTTTCCCCACTCCTTCCAGCCTATAGAATATACAATGCAATATACAATACAATACAATACAATATAGAATATACAATACAATACAATACAGAATATACAATACAATACAATACAATATAGAATATACAATACAATACAATACAGAATATACAATACAAGCTCTTATCTTTATTAAATACAGTGAGATACATAAAAACTGAGGAATAACGCCTGTTAGACTCAAGTTATGATTTTGAAGAGTCCAATGAACATGAAACACTCCAATTAGGCAGTGCACAGTCACACAGACACCCATTTTATTTCAAGAGACTGAGACTAAATGTCCGATAATCAAGTGAAACGGGTCTGTGCACACTGCACAACTGCTGTGTTGAATGCTTATTAAACTATTTAATATTATTTCCGTAGTTTGATGTTTCTCACTGTCCATTTTTGACTAGACCTAAGCTCTAAACTTATAGTAACTTATAAGTAAAAGTTAGAAACTTATTTTTAAATTTTTTTTCTCAAATTTTTCTGACCTTCCATCGTTGAAGTCTCCTTCGTATTTGTCCAGGTTTCCGAAGAAAAAAGTTCCTTTTCCCTCAAACTTTCCATTCTTAAACGATCCCTCATACCTAAACAATAGATCTTAAGTACTTTCCCAAGGGAATTTTCCCAAACAATAACTTCCCAAATGTGCAATTTAGCAAGCGGCAACTTCCCAAGTCTGTCCCAAGAATGTAATGCAAGGAAAGTTAATTGCAGTTGCGTATACTCTGTGTACATATTGAAACCAGTTCTCTCAGGGCGGAATTTGTAAACAAGAATAGATGCATCAATGTTTGTTTAGTATCCGAAGAGGTTAAAAGCATTGAATTTTGATAATTTTGAAAATTCACATAATAGTTTCCTATGACCTGAATATTTCATTGATTTTTTATGTGAAAGATGGATTCCATGTTAGGCTTCGACATCCGTCTTTTGTTTACATTACCGCCTAGTGACAGTACAATGCAGTACAAAAGATGCGTACACCTCTGAAATAACTTTCCTTGCATTAAATCCTTGGTCTGTCCTAGCCGCAGTTTCAGTTATATTAATTTCATTAGAAGGGGATAATTCATGTTTCTTGATACTTACACTTTTCCTGTATTTTGATACTATCCAGTAAATGTTTACTCCATTATAATATTTTGAATACTCTCCAGTAAATGTTTACTCCATTATAATATTTTGAATACTATCCAGTAAATGTCTACTCCATTATAATATTTTGAATACTATCCAGTAAATGTTTACTCCATTATAATATCCTGATCTTCTCTTGCAAAAAAATTCTTTACTGTTGTATGGGTTCTGTCAATTTTGAGAAAAATAGTTATTAATAAAATTAAAATTGAGTTTAAGACTTTTACAGACAGAAAAATTTAATTATCCTCCATTATGACCTTGCTCCATTCTAACTAACCTGTCTCCATTAGTATAATGATAAACTCCGGCTCCATTCATCTTATCTCGGCTCCATTCTCCAACAAATCTGTCTCCATTTATAAAGTAAAAACTTCCACTTCCATCCCTAAAAATATATTATTTTACAGTGAATACTGGAAACTGTGGAATGAATTTCTTCTTTGTTCTTCCTTTTTCTCAAGAATCGTTGCTAAGAATATTTAAGTTAAAGGGATTCTCACAAAGAATGAGTTTGTAAAGACGACCTGAGACTCTTCAAATATGACGATCCCAAGTATTCTGTTCGTTTAATGGTTTATTTCATGATTTGGCAAAGAAGAAAAATAAGTTTCTAGTTGCAGGTAATCATGAATATAAGAAAACAGACAGGATAAATCCGTACAGTCGTCTCTGAAGTCTCATCCTTTGTGGGTAACCCTGTATATCTGATATAATTCTAAAGTTGAAAAGAAAAAGAGAAGAAAAGGTTAAGTGGCAAATTAAAAAATCCGGAACGACATTTTATAATTAGAAGAAATACATTTTCTAGGATTTTTATGTACCTTGCACCTCTTTTGTTTAGAGTTCCTACAAACCAACCATCTTCGTATTCTTTAACCTCCACATCTGTTCCCTGGTTCCTTGTTCCTCCACGGAACTTTCCATTTTCTTTCACTAGGAACACATTTAAAGGAACTTCCATATGGCCAAGTTCGATTAAAAACGGTTGAAATTATATTTATTAAAGACATCTAGCTCTATTTGAAAAGAGAATCAATTGATAGTTTTCTTTAGATAACATTAATGGATCCTTTTTTGAAAAGGAATCAAAAAGAAAAGGCAAAAAAACTTAATAAAAATGTAAAAGAATGTTTTTTTTTTCTTTTACTTGGGTATTAAATTGTGTGTTATGACTTTATAGTTCCTAAGCATATTTTAAATGATTGGTAACCTATTTCAAAATACTAAAAAATTCACTATTTTGTTAAAACCACGGTTTTGTTAGTTCACACAAACCGAAAGCTTAGCTGCGAAATATTACGTGATTTGCTTTTGGTTGAATCAAAAGTAATGAAGAAATCTGCGAAATTCACATTAAACATCGTTTTTTTTTCTGCGAGCGAACACTAGATAGTAGATAATAGATAGAGAGTTTTGAACATTGTCGCGTTTTGGAACACCTTTGTGCGTATAAGGTACAGGGTGTCCCACGAAACATGACAGTTGGTGAATAGTTTTAAATGTCTTCTTCCATAATTTTTTAAGTTCTTTGATATCCAAAGAGAATAATAACAAATATCACTTAGCAGTCATATTATACGGTGGTAGGCGATTATACCAATACAATGAAGACGACTTTCGGTTTTAATTTAATTTATATCAAGCTTTAAAACAGCATGGATACACAAATAATTGGAAACAAAGAGAAGCTTTTATTTAAAAAAACTTTCTTTATTTACTTGTAAACTTGTTAATCGAAAAAAAGCTTGTTAACAATTAAAACTTTAATAAAAGTCGTCTTCATTATATTTATATTATCGCCTACCACCGTAGTAAAAACTTATTTTAAGTAAAATACGCATACAAAGTTTGTTTTGAACGGGATTTTTTTAGTCTGTTTTTTTGCATTAAGGGTTTCTTGCGGGCCAGAACTGGATTATTTCTGTGCTTAATCATTTTGTAATTATCAAAATACTTAATTAAATATAGAAACCAAAAATCAAGCTTTAAATCATCATATTTTTTAGTTTTGGGTCGTCTTTTACAGCCTTATTTTTTGTGGGTAACCCTGTACAGTATATGGAAGAAGACATTCAAAACTAGTTACCAACTGTCACGTTTCGAGGGACACCCTGAATGCTAAGTTGTAATCCTAAAATCAAAAATTATGGTTTTATGTTTTTTAAAATAAATTTTTTGAATTAACCAATCGACTGTTATGAAAAAATATAATTTTTTTAATCTTACCAATTGATCCCTCTTTAAAGCAGTCTAGGAGTTCAGTACACTGAAACTTAGTTCCATATATAACACATGATTTTATATCAGCTGATCTGGAAACTCCTCCTTGGATTTCTCTAGAATATTCAGGAAGACGATATTCATATCCGCCACAAATAAATTATTAAAATTCATTTTAAAGTTGATGCAAATTCTTTCAGCTAGGGTTGCTTGTTCTTTACTTTATTTGCGAAGACGACATTTGGAAGAAATCTGCAAAAAATAATCATAGAAACAGCAAAAATACATATAATGGTGAAATGTTTAAAACCACTTTGCTCTTTTATCTAAATATTGTACATCATAAAAATGTATCATTGGTATCGAATGTATACTAACGTTTTTCTCTAAAATACTACACTTTCGGCTTCAATATGTTACATAGCCGGTCTCTCCCTTTAAAGGATTTCTGCAATCACAATATATACTGCAGCAGCTTACTGCACAATTATCTCAAAAATATCTTGAAATGCCAACTCCTATACCTGAATCTGACCATTCTCCCATGCTCCCACATAGCTGTCTCCATCAGGCCAGATCATTGTTCCAAATCCATCCTGAGGTCAAAATTTTTAGATTCTAAATCGGTTTAAAACATTGTCCTTCCCTCTGGTTGTTTGATTTTAAAGGCCAGACACATTAGAATCTACGTCGGTTTCTAATTGGTTGAAATAAGGTAAATTTACTCTGTATCTGTTACGTAATTTGCATGAATAATATGACGTAAATTTTGCAACGTTGTTACGTGAAAATGATGCAATTTTACCATAATCACGTTTTTTGGCTTGCTGGATTTCTTTAGGTCATAAAATTTCGCCGAGAATTTATAATTTGCAACTGAACTAGATATTTTTAAATAATGAATCTTAAACCAATGAATATGAAACTTAAACATATACAGTGAAACCCTTAATAACGAATACATCGGAAGAATTTATCAAATGTCGTCTTGACAATTTTTCAATGAGTTTTATACTATTATTTCATGAAAATGATGTAATTTTGCCATAATCACGTTTTTTGGTTTGCTGGGTTTCTTTAGGTCATGAAATTTCGCTTAAAATTTATAATCTGCAACTGAACTACATATTTTTAAACAATACATCTTTAACCAATGAATATGAAACTTATACATGAACAGAAAATTATCAGTGGCAACAAGTGCAAATTCCTTAATGGTAATTCATCATTAAAAAGAAGAACAAAGACAATATTTATTTTGTTTAGTATTCGTTTTAATGGTAACCGACAAAAAAGTTCTCTGTAAAAAAGTTTTCGTAAATAAAGTCCTAAATTTTAGCACTTAAATCGTCCATGGAAAAAAGTCCTACAGCAATCATATCAATACAAGAAAACCTCTTTTTTTATTTTATTTAAGTTTTGATTGGTTCAAGTTTTTTTTCGAATTAGAAGTTAACAAGTAATCAAAGAGAAGCTTTTTAATTGATAACTTCTCTTGGCTTCTATGTTAGGTTACAGCTTAATAAAAATCAAAATTGTAATCGAAAGTCATTTTCAATGCATGGCATCAAAGGATGTTTACAAACATAAAAAAACAGGGACTTGATATTAATCAATATGCAGATGCATAGAATAAAAGTCCTTTTAGGAAAACTTGTCAACATTTCCCAAGACTAGGGGCTTTTTTCTTCAGGAATTTTTTTCCTGTGATCTTATTTCCTTAGACTTTATTGGCAGCCCCCTGATTATTTTAGGAAAAAAGTCCCAGGAATCTAAAACTCTGGACTTTACTTTCAGTGACATTAAGGACTTCAGACAATTGGGACTATTTTACAAAGCTTTTATTTCCAGGTTTTTTTTTCAAGAAACTTGTTTTTCCTGTTACTAGATTCTTTTTAATTTATTTTGTTTACCTGTTTACCATCCTTCCATCCCCCCTTGTATATCCTTCCGTTCCAGTACATATATGTACCGTTTCCATTCTGTACACCATTCAACCAGTTACCGCTGTATTTGGCCTAAATAAAGTATAGTGTATCCTTCCGTNAAATAAATTATAGTTTATCCTTCCGTTCCAGTACATATATGTACCGTTTCCATTCTGTACACCATTCAACCAGTTACCGCTGTATTTGGCCTAAATAAAGTATAGTTTATCCTTCCGTTCCAGTACATATATGTACCGTTTCCATTCTGTACACCATTCAACCAGTTACCGCTGTATTTGGCCTGAATAAAGTATAGTTTATCCTTCCGTTCCAGTACATATATGTACCGTTTCCATTCTGTACACCATTCAACCAGTTACCAGTGTATTTGGCCTAAATAAAGTATAGTTTATCCTTCCGTTCCAGTACATGTATGTACCGTTACCACTGTACTTGGCTCAGGGAGTAAGGAATAGAAGGGAGATATAACTGACGCGGTTCGCCCTACCATATGATTATGCGTGCTTTGCAGACGGGTACTTCATTTGTATAAATAATATTCAAAATAGGTTATTGTATTCGCGGTAATTGTACATCAGACAAATAAATGGAGTACCCGTCTGCAAAGCATGTATAATCATATGGTAGGGCGAACCGCGTCAGTTATATCTCCCTTCTATTCCTTGCTCCCTGACTTGGCCTTAACAAAACACAGCACCTTACATTAATAGTTTCACTAGAACACATACATTTCACTAGAAGAAAATCATTTATTTGGCGTACTGTCCCAGTTTGACGTACATAGTATATAAGTGTACTGTACAGCTTGCTTTAGATGGTTAGAATTAGGCCTGGTACTTGAAATGAACCGGAGTTTAAAGAGGATAATTCATCCAGTATTTCCATAGTTCCTGAAGAATCACAACCTGTTCATGACTGGGTCGAATTTAAAGTGTCGCAACGCCTTGTTCTTTGATCTTGATCTGATTTACTTACACTACTTTAGCCCTAGACATGTACATTTTGAATCTGTAAATCACTTGTTTTAGCAAAATAGTTTTAATGAATTGAAATTTTAAAGCTGCATTTCAAAGAAGTAACTTTAAAGCTGCATTTTGAAAAAGTAATTTTGAAGCTGCATTTTAAAGAAGTAATTTTGAAGCTGCATTTTAAACAAGTAATTTTGAAGCTGCATTTTAAACAAGTAATTTTGAAGCTGCATTTTAAACAAGTAATTTTGAAGCTGCATTTTAAAGAAGTTATTTTAAAGCTGCATTTTAAAGAAGTAATTTAAAAGCTGCATTTTAAAGAAGTAATTTTGAAGCTGCATTTTACAGTTGCGTATACTCTGCGTATATATTGAAACCAGTTCTCTCTGGGCGGAATTTGTAAACAAGAATAGATGCATAAGTGTTCGTTTAGTGTCCGAGGAGATTAAAAGCATTAAATTTTGATAATTTTGATAATTCACATAATAGTTTTCTATGACCAGAATATTTCATTGATTTTTTATGTGAAAGATGGATCCCATGTCAGGCTTTGACATCCGTCTTGTGTTTACATTACCTCCCAGAGACAATACACTGCAGTACAAAAGATGCGTACACCTCTGAAATAACTTTCCTTGCATTATAACCTTGATTAAACCACACTCAACTAGGCTTTGTGTACTGCAGTGTTTTGCAGTACTTTGACCGCAGAAACAGTCAATATTAGTGGAGGGTGAAACAAAGATTTCTAGTTTGCCGTTGTGACATGTCACTCTATTAACAAAGGAACACTTTAAATTACGTGTACAGTCCCTTTAAGAACTTACCGAATAATATCCTCCATCAGGCCAGGTTATATTCCCTCCCTCATCTACACCATCCTCTAGGACTGGGGTAGGAGCCACCAATAGGCTTACACCATCCACCACACTATATACAGGGTGAGTAAAAAAAGTGTGATTAACGGCGTCTGGTGCAAAATTGTTCTTTTTTGTGCAACTCTACTGTATGTTATTTTTTCAATATTTTTTTGATTTTTTTTGGTACTCCAATGGCCCAAAAAAATCCGAAAAACTTTTTTCTCTCTCAAAATCTAAAGTTCAGAAAAGCAAAAATGTGTATATATACTATTTCTATCAACTTCTAAAATTTTGTAAATATTGAATAACATGAATCACAGAAAATTTGCAAAATTGCTATAAGAAAATTCGCAATTTTTAGTTCTGGTCTAATTTTTAAAGAAAAGTTGTTTTTCAATGGCTCCTTAGTTTTCAACTGAAAAGCGTATATTTATAACTTCAGAATATACTAAGAAGAAAGGAACTAGAGGATTTAAACAACTTTTCCTTAAAAACTTGAAATTGCAAATTTTCTTATTACATTTTTGCAAATTCTCTGTGATTCTGTTCTACAATATTTACAAAATTCTAGATTTTGATAGAAATAATATATATACACATTTTTGCTTTTCTGAGCTATTGATTTTGAGAGAAAAAAGTTAAGCGGATTTTGTTTTTTGACCATTGAAGTACCAAAAAAAAATAAAAATTTTCAACAAATATTGAAAAATACCATACAGGAGAGTTGCACAAAAAAGGTACAATTTTGCATCAGACGCCGCTAATCACAATTTTTTTAGATAAATAGATAGATAGATAGATAGATAGATAGATAGATAGATAGATAGATAGATAGATAGATAGATAGATAGATAGATAGATAGATAGATAGATAGATAGATAGATAGATAAATAGATAGATAGATAAATAGATAGATAGATAGAATAAAAAATCGGGACGTTTTTAGAACGCCCTCTTGCCGAAGAAATAAATTCTGCTACAAATCAAAACAAATCTGAGACATTTTGCAATTTTTCAATCATCGCATAAAGCTTGTTGTTTGTGCAATATTAGAGATTTAGTTTTCAAATTATTATATACTAGCTTTTAACGGAAATTCGGCCATTTTAAATCATTTTCAAATTTTATGTGTGGTCCCCCATGAAAATTGGGCCCTATCGGTTCAGCTGTTTTGACGTTGATTGAATACAAACAGACAGACAGACAAGCAAAGTATAAATATAGATGACAGTAACATAAAATATTTGTTTTTGGAATTATAATTTTTTTAAATTTGTGCTTTAAATGGATTACAAGTGGGTTCAGGCCTAAAAGATAGATTGATATATTGTATTTACTCCCAAATTTATCTTTTAACTTTTTAAAAGTAAATTCTTACATTTGATTCCCAAGATTTTTACTTTAAATACCGTGCTATTCAGAATAAACTGGAATAATTCATTTATTGCTAAATCAAGGTTGCCAATTAGAATGCCGCAAACAATTTTTAAGGTCAAAGACGACTTCAAGTTTCAATTAATCAATGAATTATTTTTCTTTTTTTAGAATAGCACTGTATAGTTACCTGGAACCTGGGGGTGTAGCGCTGGAAGAATGAACTCCAAGATATAGGATTGTTAAGAATAATTTCCGCATCTTAATAATATTGATCACAACTGATATTGTTTTTTATTTAAACCTAATCAAACCATTAATATAAAGTTTTTTAACAAAAAGTTTAAATCTTGTTGTTGTTTCAAGTGACCCTTCATGTAAGGACGACCTTATACGGTTCACAACAATACCAATCTTAACCTTTTTCAATAATGTTGACAATATCATCAATTTTCTAGATAGAAACGTATATTTAACTCTGACCATTACCCCCATTGTTCCTGTAGCATTTTTCCCCAAGTCGATTTTAGCGAGAAACCAAAATTGAAAATAATCATTTTCTATGAGACGAATGTAGATATCTCATTCATTCTTGATCAGATTTAGCTTTTTTCGGTTACTGTTGTGAATCGGACTTGCCGTTCTATATATGGGGTGCACTGGAAATTACGTTTAGTTTCTTAAGATAGCAAAGAGCTGACGATATATTTCTTTATTTTTCTTTACTAATTTCTTTTTGACTAAAAGTAAGATATGGGATATTTTTTCCAAAATTTATATTGATGCCACAAGTTAAACGTTATACAGTTATAACCAAAAAACTGGAGAATAGGAAGACATCATTAAAGCAAAAAATAATTATATTGATTTGGTTACAAAACAAAATGTAACTTATTGAATAAATTATTATTTTTACACCGCACAATTTTAATGTCTCATGTTCATTGCACTTTATTTAAAGTCATAAATTGAGTCTAAAATTCGTCTTCCAGAGTTTACTTGTTATCATTTAAAAATTACACTTTTCTTTTGATTTTTTGACAACTGGGAAAAGCCTCCTATCGTTTAACTGCTCAGTTTGCACAATGAATAAAGATTTTTATGTTTTCTTGAGATCACTGTACCTCGTAAACACTAAATATGCTCTGAAACTAGAGCAGATATAAACACATGTGAACTATATTCAAATCCAGCCCTAACTAATATACATCTTGACTATATATTCATCGATATATTAATTATAGACTGAATACATTACATTTAGAATAAATATAAGTTTCGGCTTCGTTCCCCTCTTTAGATTTAACTGTTGCTCTGAAAGTATCCCATTTTAATCATCCTTTAATTTTGGCGTATTTTTCTATTTATATTGGCGCATTTTCAAAAATAATGATTGTCGACATTTTTTCCGGCAAAATTGTTCAAGAGGCTGTTTTGCTGATTTTTTTCTTCAAAATTTAATTGTGTAAAAATTCAACAAAAAAATTAGCATTGTTAATAAAACAAACAAGATTTATTTGTTAAAAATTTGAGGGTGTCCCAATAAACATGGGAATTCAGTGACGAATTCAATATTGTCTTTTCAAACAATTCTTTGATTTAGTATAGTGATATCTAATGAGAAAGCTGTAATCCGTAAGAGTTTCGTCTGCTATTTTTACAATTTGTTTGTATATGTTTTGACTGCATACGGTTGTACTTAGTAAAACAAGAAAATTGCAGTATACAAACAGAGTAAACTTGTCCGCCTTCACTGTTCATCTTGCGGAGACATTATAGATACATCTTTGCAATCTTTTACCCTTTTCATAAAATAATTTCTAGTCGACATAATAATATTATGGCTTTTGAAATTAGGTATTACAATGCTAATACATAACAAAGACGAGATCAAATTCGTCACTGAATTCCCATGTTTTTTGGGACACCCTGTATGTAAATTATTTGAAAGAAAAAATTAACGTCAAAGTTGAAGCATGTAAATTATTTGAAAGAAAAAATTATCGTCAAAGTTGAGGTACTGGGTGTCCCACGAAACATGACAGTTGGTGAAAAGTTTAAAATGTCTTCTTCCATGATTTGTTAAGTTGTTTGATACAAAACAGAATAATAAAAATAATCTATGGGAGTCATCTTAAAGTAAAATTGGTTTCAAAACAAAATATATTTGAGTTAAAGATTTGTTATGCTAAATAAACTGTGATAAGTCTTTAATATTATAATACAGTATATGGAAGAAGACATTCAAAACTATGCATCAATTTAGTATCAAACAACTTATCAAATAATCAAAGAGAATAGAATATATTAGAGTGGAATTTAAACAATTCCTCGGTATGAATTTTGTCAGTCCCTTTCAGTCTGAAAGGGAGTTCTATTCTCTTTGCAAATGATGGAAGAAGACATTCAAAACTCTTCATCAACTGTCATGTTTCCTGGGCCGACTCCCTTTATGGAAATTATTTAAAAGAAAAAATTATCGTAATAGCCTTTAACATCGTAAGTTCATAAGTTTACTAAAAATGGCAAGAATTTTAATTGATATAAATGATTGAATTAAAAAATTATTTGTTTTAAAAATAAAAGTAAATATTTTCCGCGGCCCTTGTATGTTTTGTCTCTGTATACTGTTTACATTTACAATAATCAGACATTTTTAAACATTTGCCGTTTTGTCTAAAAATGATCATCAATTTATAAGAAAAAGTTAAAAATATCATAAATATATGAATTAAATAGATACTCTTTTAATGTTTAATGTCATTCATAAATGAATGAGATGATTCATTTTGTATACTGTCCCATCTTGACTTCCATGTTTGTGTACTGTACAGTGTACATTGTACAGTGTGCATTGTACAGTGTACATTGTACAGTATACAGTGTACATTGTACAGTGTACATTGTACAATGTGTCCTAGTTGCCAAAAAGTCGGAACGGTACTTCAACTGAACCGGAGTTTACAGTGCACTGAGCCGTCATTGGAAAATGATAATATGCAGTCTAGTCCCATAACATGATTGACACCGATGGCAGTCTAATATAAGACTAGAAATGTAATCATAAAACTATCTAGCTCATTTGGTAGGATTCTGAAGACAATCTTTTTCTATCACAACGATGGAAATTAAAATCCAAGGAAAGGTAAAAACAATCTATCAAATTATACTGCAATGACAAAATTCTTAACACACTCTAGTTCTGTAGCATCGATGGTCGGATTCAAGGAAATACAAGGCATTAGTTTTAATTATGCATGTTGGGGGGAAATTCCAGATTTTTGCAAGCAGTAAATATTAAATTTGTCACAAAAATCAATTATATCTAAGAACTGATTTAACCAAAGAGAATAGAATATAAATTAGAGTGGAATTTAGACAATCCCTCGATATGAATTTTGTCAAATCATGTAAATGTTCACAAATTATATGCAGTAAAGTACATTAATACATAATGTTCCCTAGACTATCCATTTCAATTTAGAATTTTTTAAATCTGGTGAATAAACTTTATAAAATGAATTAGGTGAATAAAAAACATCATTTTATTTATAGTTATAACGGAAAATCATCGTTTGTAAAGTGAAAGGCATAGAGTCTATGTGAAATGATCATTGGTCAATTATGAAACCAGCCTATTTCATAATTTTGTTTTCTTTTAATATTAATTTTAGATTTTCTATAAAATGATGTTCCAGGGCCCAAAAGGTTATATAGCATAAATTTGTGAAGTACACCCGCAGTATGGAAACGGTTCAACAAAATGGCTGTTTTACACTTTTTTTCTAGTAAATTCCCCTCTAATATATATTCTATTCTCTGTGGATTTAACTGATTAATATCATTATAATAATATGTAATAAACATTTAAATAACTTTGGGACTAATTACGTCTTTCATTTCCGATATTTCACACTCCTATCTAAAGAAAGTCTTATGAATGCGTTACTAAATTCGTACCGGCCTTATCCTCGTACTAATCTGGGATTAATTCTACCCAAAAAGTTAAAAAGTTTAAAATAAGTGAATAAGTCTCTAAACAACAAATTAATTTTAAAGTTATTGTAAATAAACGGTTCTTCCAGTGAAATTTTACTGAGAAATTATACACCGTAAAAACGTCTCAAATGAATCCTAAAATATTTCTCCATTATACTGCATTCTTGATTCAAATATGTTACCTAGCCGGTCTCTCCCTTTAAATTGTGATTTTTACTGTATCTGCCTGGCCTGTCCTATGGCTGAGGTTTGAGTTATAAAAAGGTTCTTTTAATGAGCTTTTCAGAATGTGATCTTCGCCTTCTTTGTATCTTTAAAATTGACGATGATATATCGAATATTTATCAAGGTAATATTTATGGATAGTGATATTGGCATGCTGGAAGATAGTAGCAGCCAGTGGCGGAAATAGGGGGGGTTATTTACCCCCCCCCCACCTAGAATCCTGGGGGATTACCCCCCCCCCTTGAATCTTGGAAGGAATTACCCCTGAAATATTTGGGCCCTTAATCGCAGTTATAACTTTGTTTTTGTTTTTAAAAAAAGGTTGATTTTAAAATTAAAAATCTTTAAAATTACACTTGGTTTTCTCTTTTTCCCACTTACTTTTAAGATGATTCTTTGCTCAATTTTATTTTTAGAAATAAAAATATAAAACAATATCACAAATAGATGAAATATAATAAAGAAAGATAACTAAAAAGCTCAAATATATTTAGTTTTAATTTTGAATTTTAAGTTATGGTAAACTATTGAAAGTATTCATCATGGTACACGGAAAAAAAATACTTATTAAATGTTTTGGTTGTAGTGTAATTAAGAATAATCAAATTGCTGCTAAAAGATGCATTACTTTGTTAATCAATCCAGAGGATTAACGAATCTGAAGATTTTCTGACCTAAGATTATTCTGGAATAAAATCATAACTTATAATTTTTTAGCCTAATATCAAAGATTCCCATAAAATCTAAATACTTAGGATTCCATTTTTTCACAATTCTACTTAAAATCAATTACAACCTTAAAAATAAATTTTTAAGATGGATAAGTGCTGAAATTCAAATTAGATAGGACAATATATAAATAAACATGGCAGTTTATTGAGATACACCCAAATATTGTTATTTCTTTTCCGCTTCTGGGATTGCCTTTCCGGATTCTTCATTTGAACCTATCCATCAGTTTCATTTCCATCAGTTTCATTCCCATCAGTTTCATTTCCATCAGTTTCACTTCCATCAGTTTCATTCCCATCAGTTTCATTTCCATCAGTTTCATTCCCATCAGTTTCATTTCCATCTCCTAAAATTAAAGAGCTGTTGCAAATGAGTTTTATTTATTGTTAAACTGTTTACTGTTTAGCATTAAACCGATTTGAATATCCGAATTAAAACCAATTAATAGAATCAAAGAATTCTAAAAATTAACCAAAATAGGACTAAATTTTATATTTTTATGACATTATAGTAATATTTATATTAAAATTCCGTATTTTCCCATTCAATGAATGCTATAATATAAGTTCAACTTGCCTGTACTATAAAGTGCACCTTTAGCGGCCCCTGCAGCGCCCGCAATGCCCCCGGCCATAATGACCCCAGTGGTCCAAATGGCCTCGGCCCCAACGACCCCAGCGACCCCAATTGTCCCAGCAGCAGCAATTGGAGCAGCCAAAGGAGCTAAAATTAGTGCCCCAGCTGACCCGCCAACAACCGCAGCTGCAACGACCTTCTTTATTTTCCTCATTTCCTTTTCCTGTTCTTTAATTTTTCGTTGCAATAGTGCATTGTCTGTTGCAACCTTCTTTACATTCTCTGTCGAGAGCCCAGGTAACTCTTCTAACATTTCATAAAGCTTAGTACAAGCAGAATCAAATGCAGCTTTCTCATCATCATCATCTTTTTCATAAATTGCATCCATGTAAAGATAGCGTAGCCCGCTGCAATCCCCAAACTGTTCCTCTGCTATCTTTATGAAGTCTGCTGCAAGTTGAGCATCTGTTTTCTTGTTAATTTTTTCTCTCCTTTCCTTATCTCTCAGACTCATCGGCATGCGAGTAAAAACAAGAACGGTCTGATTCCAAAACTGTTTGCCAAACATTCCTTCCAATATCCTGATCATTGTCAGCAGGGATCCATCTAGTCTTGGGTTCTGTCCATTAACTGCAAGGACAAACAGATTGACATAATCACATCTTTTTTTCAGCTTGACTACAAGTTTACCTATAATTTTAGCATCATGATTCTTAGTAGGATCATCAAACCCCATGGTATCTATGAGGGAGACTGGTTTCTTTTCGTCTCCATTCAAGAATACATCTTTAAACTTAGGTTTCTGGGTACAGGATTTGCCTTCTGAGGAAGTTTTGAAATAATCAGCATCATACTTCTTTCCTGAGAGTACATTGCAGAGAGTACTCTTCCCAGTTCCTGTCTTACCAATCACAAGAATCTTTTTCCGGCCATTACCGCTTATGCTTTTGGCATTCTAAAAGTAACAAAATTTTATTTGGGTGTAGAAAATCTTCCATCAGGGAGTTTACAAACTTGGAGAATAACATTGATATAACAGGAGCTGTAGACATAGCTGTATTAGACGGCTCAGTTTCATTTGCCATAATATTTTTGCCATAATTACACTTGACATAATACTTTTGTCAAAATTTTCTAATTTCTAAAAAGATGAAAATCTGTCTTTTTTTTTGCAAATGCGGGAAATTTTCCCATGAAAATTCCCAACTTAAGTTTTCTCATTGTTTTAAAAAAAAGAACAGTTAACACAAGTTCAGCTCCATATTTTCTCACAATGGAGGACCCTTTGGTGACCTTTGAGACCACAAGTAAGGGTAAACCAATGGTTCGAGACAGCAACAACTACACCTATGTAGCCAATGCCTCGTCTACAGAAGTGAAATATTGGAAATGTTCGGTTAAAATGTGCTCAGCTAGAATTCGAACCCGAATTTCTTCCTCAAACCTATGAGAGGATTGCTAACATTGTCCTACAGTATAATACTCTTCCCATAGAAGAGTACCTAAACCTTATAGCTCATGAACTGTCTCTGCATTAGATTTGTAATTTGTATCCAATTTAATTTTAATTATGGCAAGAGTAATTATAGCAAGTGTAATTCTTCTAATAGCTAATCAAATTGAGCGATAAATTTGCACTCTTGTATGAACTTTATTTTTGTATTTTTCTTGGCCTCTTATAATTACAGTCCCTCTATATGTTATTTTTTCTCTGAATTTCTATCATAAAAACACAGGAAATGAGTTTTTGCCATAAACTCCAAAATTATAATCCCTACATTTGTACAACCTGATGTCAAAGAGCTTTGATATTTCAAACTAAGAATTCTATGAACAATGGAAGCCTAAGTTTGAAATAAAACAAAGGTTTAAACCATCAGGTTTTAAAGAAATAGGGATTAGAAAATTTGAGTGTGCGGCAAAAACTTAGTTCCTTTCTCTGTATTACTCTCTGTAAAAGTCTGTTAGTATACCACATGCAATGCTAGACATCAGAAGTGATTTTACGATACTTGCCTATGTTTTTTCGACAAAAACATATTAGATATCATCGATGTATTCATTTATGTTATTTAATAATATTTCATGCTTAAAATTACTTTTAAACTTAGGTGTTAAAATAGAGATGTCATCGATATTGTAATGTAACGTAAAATGTACGTTTTTGTTTGTTACGTTAAATTAATATGAAACGTTTGGATATATTCTATATAACATGAACAATAAACGTTAACGTTATAGGAGTCCATACCTAACTTTAACGTTAAACATTAACATTAGAGGAACTTACCTCCAACGTTAGTGTTTTGTTTGCGTTTTTCTAATATCTACAACTTTGTAGACTGCAAGAAAACAAGATTCTTTAGATGACACAACAAACAAGTCTACTGAGATCAGTCGTTAAAGGATGTATATTTCCCAACAATATTTCCCGATTACTGCAGCAGATACACAACAGAATGAACCCGTCTCAAAAATAAATATTAATTAAATCTCTTTATTTCCTGAAAAATTACATATTTTTATTGTGTGTATAAATGGTAAAAAATAATGTTTATAATGGAAAAAAATGCTTACGATCTAATAATGTAAGTTGGGAACTAACAATGGTTTGAACAGTACTAAAAGACGTTTTAAACTTCTGAAATGAAATGACAATGATTATCAACGAAAGTCACTAATTCTTTATATGAAAATTATTCTTTGTTTAACTTTTGAAAATAGATTCACAACACGTGAGGTTTGTTTATGACTCCGTCGGAGAGAAGAGGGGGGTGGGTTGAAATTGTTTGGTTTGGTGTCTCCGAGAGGGAACTCAAGTTAAAGACGACTTTACAACAGAGACTCATTGTTAAGGGTTAACAAACTCGTTTGACCATTACATAAAGAAACGTTTCTTTTCCATGGGAAGCTTAGAAGTCTAACGTTTAAAAAAATTAACTGTGATTTGATTGAATATCGTAACGAAAGGATTTTTATTTCAAAGTTCAACTTATAAAAAGTCTAACGTTGTATTACTAAAAAATGCATTACTGTTTATGAAAACGTTTTGAAACGTTTTCCCTTATAGTATAATCAAGAGTTCAACGTTTCAGAAATGGGTTATTATTTCAATAATCAGGAAACGAAAGTTTTTTATACAAGAGTGTAAATTTTAACAATGAAAAGTATAACATTTAAAAAAAAGTAATTCTGTAAATCAAAAAGTTTCATAACTTTTCTCTGAATACTAAATTGATTAGTCTAACGTTAGATATATGTCTGATGGAAATATTGTTCATAAAACGTTAGACTATGAGGGCTGAGTTTTAATTTCAAAAGTGTAACAATAATTCTGCCAATCAAAACACTTAAAAAGTCTGTAATCTATCAATGTAAGAGATTTGACTGATGATTATGACAGCAACGACTAATGGTTATTCATTTCAAGTTTAAAGGAAATGAGTTTAAACCATGAGCTTTAAACCATCAGGTTGGAAAGATTATAGGGATTAGTATATTTGAAAAAAAACTTAGTTCCTTTCAAAAGTGTAAACGAGTTTTTTTTTGTAACATGCTATTAGTGAAAATTCAAATCTTAAAAATGTTTCTTGGACATTAAAAAGTTTTTGATTTGCCATTGTTAAATGAAACCCACTAAAACTCCGGAAAAAGAAGACGATATTTAAGAAAATTTACATATGTATTTTCTGTTATAAAGCAAATAATTTACTAATGGCAAAAAATCAACTTATTAAGTGGAACGGGTCTGTGAACACAACACAATTGCTGTGTTTCATGTTTATTTGACTAATTGAAATCATAACTTCAGTTCGCATGGTTCATTTTTTAGGTTGAAAAATTTAGAAATGTTGTTACTTACTAAAATGCAAAAATATTTTATCAATTGGAAAATGCGTGTTATGTTTTATTTCATCAATAGATTTTTATAAAACTTTAGAATAGAATAAAAAACTGATTATTTAATCGATTTGTTAAAAAAAGAAAACAAATTTATAAAGTTTTATTTTGCGTTGTTTGTGTTAAAAAATATTTAGTATTTGTCTTACTTTATTTGATATTTTTTAACCCAAAACATGAACCCTGAAACATTTTCATTGTGGTTTGTAAATTAAAGCTAATGACGCTATTTTAATCACTTTGTAAGTAACATAAAAAAAACCACTAAAAGAACTAAAAATGCGCCACAAATTATTATTTTCTAATCTCTACATCTTTGCAAAAGTGGTTTGCCTTGCCGAATTTTAATTCATTTTATGAAGTGTTCTACCTTAGATGAAGAGCTCATGATACAGAACTTTCATACCAATCATTTTATTTATCTGCAAGTAAAATATATAGATAATAAAATTCAGGACGCACGACAGACTATAGGTCTTCTCAAGCCAAAGGCTTCGGTAGGAGTGATCTCTTTCTCTCGGGCATCAGCTTCCTAGCTTCTCCACATGTGTTGTCCTCTATGCAAGGTGATCTCATCCTAAGATGATCTCATCAGTTCTTTATG